TGTTATAGAAAGCATCTGGCCACATGTGTAAATACAATAAATTACGGTAGAGAATTTGCGCTGTAGTCTACTTCTCTCTATACCAAGGATTTTTCGTTAACTCAATTTGAATAAAATTTTTAATTTCACGTTCTATATTTAGTCGTTCATTTTCTTAATATATTCGAGCTTATTTTTGCTTGAATTATTTTTGCTGATTATCATTAGAGAATTCTAAAATGAAATATTTCATCACTTTCGATGGTGAAATATTATATATATTTTTGCAAGATTATTTCGATGCAAATAAGAGGCTTTACCTGAAGGACTAAGTTAATATAGAATTACAAATTATATGGGCTAGTAAAGGCAGGCAAAATATTGATAGAAGCTCACTATAACATCAATTTGAAATGCTAAACTAAATTTGTCGAAGACGTAAGACTCATTACTGGTTTCATGAAGGCAAAAACTTGTAGCTCGAGATTTTCATTATATCTACAGGTGTCTTTTTGATTCAAACAAGGGATCACGAAGCCAAGAGATATTTTATTCTGAAATGCATAACTGAATTACTCGTTACTTAAGGAGCTTTCGCAATAAAAAAGAAGTCGTGATTAATTAATTAGATTTACAATTATTATTTTTATTAAATACTAACTCATCTTTTTAGGCATTCACGTAAAATTATTTATTGATAATAGAGGTGTTGAATTGATTTAAATAATAAAGTAAATGAGTAAGAAGCTTATTATGATTATGATAAATAAATTTAGAGAAGATGTTATCAAAACTTAAGTGCATCAGGAGCATCACTAAATAAATAAATTGAATAAATAACCGGAAAATACATATTTATTGAACACGGCTGGTTACACGTTGCAAATCTTGTTGTGAAAACGTAATCTGTTGGGAGTCTAGTTTGTTTTATGTGATTTTGATTTAACTTCACAAGATTATTATCTATCATGAGTAATTTATTTAAATATACAGAAAAAAAAATTTACTGTCATAAAAAGCTTATAGATTCGATCAAATATTTCTCGTGCCAATTTGACATTATTAAAAATTTTTAATCTTTGATTACGTTTACGTTTTTCAAGCATAATTTTATTAAATACAATTAAATATTTAATTAAAAAAATTTCAAATAATTTTTTTTAATGAAATGAACATTTTTTTGTATCGCGAAAATTCATTTTTCAATTGAAAGAATAATTCAAGCTAAAATTTATTCATTCGGATATTAAAAAAAATTTATATCAAAACAAGAGGCTTCAAATAAATGAATAAATGTGTAATTTACCTCATCCCATACAATTTTATTCCAATTTCTAAATTTATAAATATTTTTTGCAAACAAACCTTAACAATGAATAAAAACGATTGTTCATTCATTTAAAAAAAAAAAAGAAAAAACCGTAAATTGTATGATAAGTTTTAATAAAGCAAACAAAAATAGCAAGGAAAAAAAAATCTAAAAAAAAAAGTACATCAGAACTCAAGGGAAAGCTTACAATGTTGACAACATGTATATTCAACCTTGCATATTCCTATTGTACAGTACGCAAGATCATAAATCGTAATTTATAACAGTGAAAATACATCTGTTACACCACAATAGAGAGCTCACGTCATCTGTTATTTGCAGTTGCATTGCATTATGCATATGATTAACGATAATTATTATATCAATCGATCGAATACCAATCACGGATACACACATTCAATCGATCGAAACACCTTTGGAAATATATATGAAAATAGTTATCGACTTTTTTTTAATCAGTACTAAATTGAATACAACGTTTATCGCAATAAACTAAAATCCAACACAAGAATCGTGTTATGTCCGTTTCACGGCTGCTGAGCTTTTATTACCTGTGTTCCAGCTTCGATAGTAGCATCGTAAAGTCTCAGTAGTGCAACACATATGTTTCAAATACCTCGATTGAACATTCTTTTCACATTGTCATGAATAAAATGAATTCACATAAATGTTAAATATTTAAAATAAAACTTTAAACGATAGATTTTTTTTTTTGCATGGGCATTCAAAAAACTATGTTACAATATTACAGTACGAATTTATATACATAATACTTCAGTCAAGATGATGATAAAATTTATTATGAAGAGCCTTTGAAAATTTCTCAGACATTAAATAACTCAAAGCAGATGAGGGTGGAACCCCTAAAACGAATCTTATGCAAAGGTTTTCAGATGCCATCTTGTGAAACAAATTTTAAAGAAAATTGGTCCAATTATTAAAGAAAATTTATTTTATGAGACGCAAGTTTGAAATTTTAGTTAACTTTAAAACAAAAAAAAAAAAAAACATTATTTTACTGCGGTTCGTAAGACCCACAATCTACTTTTCATAGAAGAATCTAGTAGCTCCACTGGGAGTTACTTGGATGAGGGTTTTCCCTCAGAGAAGTTGTCCTTTTTCACAGACCGTACTCTTTACTTACATATAATACCCTTGTGACATCAAGGAATTAAGAGGACAATAGCAAATAAAAAGGACATCCTTAAGGACAATAAAAAATTTTTATAGAATTTTTTTTTCACATCACGCAAAAGGTTGGATGAAAATCTCCACATGTAAACATGGAAGAGATTTTTTATAAAAACAAGGTAGAAATCTTTTCATTTTATTAATTACATTAACAGCTTTTCAAATATTAACTCAAAAAAATTACTACTTTAGCTTTTGTGTAGAAATGAATCCAACAGTATCTAGATGAGTTTACTTCATTAAAAATATTTATAAACAGTTGGTGTGCAAAGATTTCAATGGAAATAAATATTTTTAAAGACGAGAAAGCTTTCAGGGGTTGATATAAAGCTACAATGAGAAAAAAGTTTATTTTGAACAAGTTATTTTTTTTAACTAATAAAATCAACATTTTAAATCTTTGCAATGAATTTAAGATAAAAACAGAAAAATTAGAAACAACAAAACAATATAAAGTGACAGGATTAAAACAATGATTATCGTCCTTATCATTTATACTTGGTGCACAGTTTTATCAAGCACATGAGGCTGTTTTTGGTTTAATCCTAATGTTTCATTGAATTGACGATTTATTTTATAAAATATTTCATTTTAAACTTTCTTTTAATGCAAAAAACTTTTCTTAGTGTATAAAGGGAAAAGTATCTTAAAATCAAGTAACTGAACTGTGAATAACACTAGTCTAGCACGATTATTACATATATAGCTTGATAATAAATGTAGTAAGTTTTTGATCTCAGCGTTAAGCTGTCGACAAATATTTATTCAGGATTTTCTTCTGAATGCAGAGAAAAGTAAAGAGAAGTTTAGGAAGCAGCGATTGAGTTTATACCTAAGGCAACATTCTGTGAAATTTAAGGTGGTTAGTAATTGATGGTAGAAATTATTGTGGCTCTTATACTAATACTATATATTTTGAATGAGATGTTTACAAATATGAAAAAAATTACAAAAACATAACAAAGTAAATAACATTTATCTACTGCAGTTGGTCTAATTTTTATTTTTTTTTTTTTTTATTCTCATTATTATCTTCATTTAGAAAAAGGATATGATAAGAAAAAGCCAGATGGAAAGGAGACAGTCTTGTTCATTGTTACGACTGTTACTGAAGACTGAACAAAGATAGGATGAAGATCAAAGAAGAAGCTCCTACGAGGGCAACAACTATACGTCGATAAAATTGTCTCCAGGGGCTCTAAAGAATCGATGACTCGTCGACAAAGCCAGAGAAAAATAGATAAAAAGAAGAGAGAAAGAATATTATTTATTGTCACTAAAAGAGTTAAACATTTTTTTTTCAGTTCTCTCCATTCCTGTGTTGTTATTGAAATAGAATAATTGTGTATGTTAATTTAGACAAATTAAAAATGAAATTCAACTGCGTATTTTATATATAGGTCGAATCGTTATAGTTGGTAAAATTTTTACATTAATGAATAGTACATGAAACGTCGAAAAAAATATATTTAAAATTGGAAAAAATTTTTATAAAACCAATAATTACTGTGGAAAAAAAAAGAATAATTATAACTGACAAAAAAAAATTATTTTATATAATTAATAAAATATAATAAATGTAATTAATTGATTTTTATGACAAAAAAATTATGAAAATCATAATGATAAATAATTTTGAGAACAGAATTAGCAAAAAATTATAAATCATATAAAGAAAATAATCAAAAGAGTTTTATTAAAAACAACCTAAATTATTTAATTGATATATTAAACAAGTAATAAATTAGATATCACAAAAATTAAAATTTAAAAAAATGGAAAAGTTAATTAACGAATTTAAAGATAAATAAATATTATAAAATTACCAATTTTGATGATTCCGAACGAAGCCAGGGTATTTCACTAGTAGAATATAGAACATCAAAATAAAAAAAAATTTTAAATTGAAATAAAATTGCGATCAAGTCATGGATTATTATTATCTATTTTAAATGTTGCAAATGAAAATTGCGAATTGTAGTTAAATTCGATTATTTACAATATTTTTTTTACTAAAATAAATATTGTATAATCAAAAAATACGAAGATACAAAGTTTGTATAATTGTGGAATATTTGATCCAATCAAATTGAATTTTAAACAAATAAATGAATTTAAAAAAATGAATAAAATTTTATTAAAATACAAAATAACAACAAAATCCTTTTATTGTGGTTTCATACTGACAGTTGTTGATATCATGATACTGGATTATTTTCGTTGAAAATATTTTTTTCTCATCAATTTATCTTTAGCAATTTTAATGGAATAAATTATAAAAATTAATCAAAGCATGTGAAAGAAATACACTGAATGGTTACTGAACGGAAGTAATTGAACTCTGGCGTTGATGACCTGTACCTTTCAACATCACAGCCTAATACATGTTACTCCACTAAATCATTAATTGATTCTGTTTGATCTATGACTGTACATCATTCTTGCAACCGGATCCTTCTAAACGATAAATCAAGTTGTGTAATATTTGTATTGTTTGCAGGTTCTATTAGCAATATTGATGGGGCTGAATACAGCTGCAATAAAAGTACTGTCAGGAAAGTCATCAGTGGAGTCGTTGGAGCTGCTAGTTCTGTTACATCTATTCAAGTTGCTAATCTTTTGAGACTTTTTCGGATACCTCAGGTAAATTCAATTATAGTGTAATTAATTTGCTATATCATTTTAGAAATAACAGTAATTAGAACAAAAGAACAATTGAAATAATGCCTGGAGCACTAGTCAGCCTCAATTTCAACTTCAACGTATGAAACTGATGTTCTGTAGTGCACGAAAAAAAATATTAAATCATTTTTTAACGGCTGAGTTCAAATAACCAAAGTCAATATATTTATCTATCAAGTTCTATAAAGAGAAATTGCAAAAAATACTAGTTTTATTTGAAGTGTGTTATCAATAGCTATTATCATAACAAAATCTGAAGCAATCACTTAATCTAACCACTCAATGAATACCTGTTATCTCCTATCTTCTGCATCATCTATTTTAATCACTGTTATAACGACTACTACTTTTGCATTCATAGAATTCATAAAAATTTTCCTTCTAGAATTAGTTTGAATAAATGTCTATCTGCATTGAGAAAAAAATTTGTCCTATGTATTTTTATGTAATGATTATATTAATGTTTTTTAAGTCATGCAATGCTAGGATAGCCAAGTAGGTTAATGCACTGAGCAAAGACGCGTGCGTATAAGCGAACATCGTAGGTTCAAACCTCTTTAAGTTTAAAAAAAAATTTATTTCAGCGAATTAATGAAATTCAACTAAAAATCTTTTCTAATTACGAATATTAATGATAATAAAATTAAGTAAACAATTTTAAATGTAATAAAAAGAAGAACATTAAAAATTAAAAAAAAATAGGAATTTTTTTTGTAATTAAACTCATCAATAAAATAATTAGAAAATGATATTAACCGTAACTTCATACGGTGATGGTAGGAAGAAGGGAATTTTTTTCATTCTTAATCGAAAATTATTGCAAGCATTTCCCTACTATCATGTGCTACTTTAAAGTCCATATCATTATTTCAGTTTATTATAGAGTTGTAATCCTGTTCAAACTACACATCTAAATAATGCTCACCTGAGAACAGTTAGTGGTGAGAGCGAAACTAGTAAATTATCATCAAAATTTTTTTCGCTTATGTAGAGAAATTAGATACAAGCAATGACGGTGAAACTAAAATATCAAATGAACAAGTTGCTAATTAAGAAGACTACATACCTGCATCACGCCCTGCAATTTCGGTACATGCAAGCCACAATATGTTCCCACCTAGTACTTTAGTGACTCTAAAATATAGCAATTAACTTCCTGACCAGATCTCTTTTCTCAAGTAGCAGCAATTCACTGAGCTACGATATAACATGAGGAATAATTAATTGCACACACTTTTCAATTTACTATTACACTTAGTAAGTGAAGTATTTGTATTGTAGTAATATTTTATCTGACTTCATTGTACTGAACAGCTTGCAGCTAACATCAGAACAAATTGACTTTATTGTTTTCCAATTAGGTCTATCCGAAAGAATGATATTTACATACTGATACGAAGTTTGTTTTAGTATTCCGTGAGATTTTTTTCAGGTTCATTGAACATAGATACTTGAATGTATGTGTCATGTATATATCAATTTCATTCGTGCACTGAATGTACGTATTTGCATAGATAATGAGATGCTCTGCATGGCTATACATATCAGAATCAATTTATACTAGTCACAACTATCTGATGGAACCTTCATTCCAATAGGATTAAATCTGTGTAATATGCCCTTTATTTTATTATCACAATTGTCGATTTAAACTTCATTATTACGTAGTCAGCAATGAAAATTAAAATTATTCCTAATCTTTGAATTGCTTCGAATGAAATAAAACAACCAACAAATGTCCTAATTTATTTAATTTTTGTTTTATAATGAATGAATTAATCTCAACAAAATAATTTTTTAAGTTGATATGAATATAAAATATTCACAAAGGATTAAATGAAATAAAGTACCAACCGTGATCATTCAATATAAATACGTGGTATTGTGAAATAATTCTAAATAAAAAATGACTCGAAATGAAAAGATAAAAGATATCGGGGACTTTATTCTCTATAAACATTATCCCAATCGGATAATCCACTCCTGGAAAATATCATTTTTATATTAGAAAAAGGTGGAGGTAAACTCTAAGGTATTTTATAAATAAAACCTTTTATTTTAAATTACACAATGTAGGAGGTTTTATTAAAAAAATAATCAGTCGTTCTTCTTTTGAATTCTAATGAGTCAAAACAAAAAAATGGAATTATTCTTATGTAAACATCACCTTGAAAAAAATAACTAACTGTTTACGGGGTTAAAAATTAAACACCTGTCGGTATGTTTACTGTAACACACTTTGAATTTATAGTGTCACGATGTTCAAACTCTGGAAACTCAATCTGATAAAAAATGCCCTCATATAAGATGCTAGAGGAAAAGGTAGGATTATGAGTCACTTTTTTTTTTACTCAATTACATTTTACTCTATTAAATTATCGCCCAATTGTCACTTTTTGACGCACCGTGTGAACACTTAGGTGTTTTATTATCAAATACTTCAACCGTTTTATTACTAAACACTTGAATTTTCCTGGATTTGTAGTGAAAAATCAGACAGAATTGGATTTTTTTTTAGAGGAAAATTTTTAGGAAGAAACTTTTGAATGATTCGCAGTGTTTTTTGAACAAGTTGTTAGTTTTAAAATAAAGTTTTTGTTTTTATTATTTAATAAAGTATTTTTTAAAATGTTCTTCCAAAGTTTCATTTTATCGGATTTTTAACACACTTTTATAAATAACACTTTTGGAACAAATTTTTTTTTCATACGAGGAGTTTTTATTATTATTAATTTCCAAAAATAAAAGTGAAACGAAAATTTCAACCACGACTACAGTCATTATTCTTCATCTTCATATACAATTACTACGTACGGTAAATGTGAAATTTATTAATATATCAGTAGGTAATAAATAATGCTCCTTTTCTCGAGGTGAAATAAATTTTTAAAATTATAAAACAGATAAATTTTACTTAAAAACATTTTTTCCCCATTTTTTAATTTCCTAGTTTTTCATTCATCATAAATATATTCATGAAAATTATTTCGTAAGCATTAATAAATAATTATTTTATAATATTATTGATCAGTTAGAGTTGAGAAAAGTTTTTTATCGTTTCCAATAAAAGTATTTCACAGTTAAAACTTTAAAAATCCTAAATAAGATTTGTAAAAATTTTAATTAAGGTAATGAGACCGTGGATAAAATTATTTGTGCATTAACTCTAATGTAACCCCTTTTGCACGTTCTGTCGTCTAACCAGTGCATTCACAGAACTCACTTCGCCCTTCTTAATGTTCTGCATTACACCGTTCATTCGCATTTCTATGCAAAACGTGAGTCGGTAATATGGATACTTCGAAGCTCCGATTTGGAGAGGATAAGAAAGATATAGGAGAAAAGAATGAAGATTTTTTTTTTCAGAAAAAAAAAATTCTAAAATGTTTGAAACGTCAGCTCACCACCACCAAGTAACTTTCGTTAAATGGAACAATAGAAATTACCAGCATTTTTCGTTTAAAATTATTTTGATGAAAGAGAAGGCTTGAAAATACAATAGAATATAAATTTTGTTCCATTATTACATTGAATTTTAGTTGAACGAACTTGTAATTTTTTTTTATTTATTTTTTTTATTCTCATTTGTTATTATTTACTTATTCTTCTTTTGAATTGAATTTTATAATAAAAAATAACGATGATGTTAAATTTATGTATATTAGTTTTATTATAGATATTGTGAATTTTCATTGGCATTTATGGTCATATTCGTATTTTTTTTATTACATTATAAAATTTTACTTTTCGAAATATTTGGTAACATATTAGAAAGTTTTGAAACAAATATCTACACGTACGTACATTTGTAAATATAAATAGATAAGATTTTCGCAAAATTGTAATAAAAAAAAAACATAATTAAAAACCGTTAATGAGAATAGAAAATTCATGAATGAATCATTTCGATCATGCTGAAATTTATTGGGAATCATTTCTAAACGTACTCAGAAAATTGTTGAATAATTCTAGCTCTGTATCTACTCTCAAACCCACTCGATGATAATATTTTAGATCACGAGGAGTTATTAATTATGAATGGTAGTACAGGCAAACCAAATCGCACTCAGACTTATTTTTTATTTTGTACTCACTCCTATTGTTCTCGTCTTTTTCATTATTCCACTTGTTTATTCTTGTATTTTCTCTCAATATAATCCAACAATCAGAACAATGCATCGAAAAAATAATTTCCAGTAATCTAAAAGACATCAAAGCAGCTGAGATACTTTTTTACAAGTACTACATATACACATACACATTTACACACACACACTTATCCAAATCTCTATCAACACAATACTGATTGCAACTTTCATGATCTGCCTAGATAACCGCTAAATCGATTCTAAGTACGCACATATTTGTCTAACATAATCAATCGATCGATTGTGGTAAACCTTTAGAATAGAATACGTGTACATGACAGCAAGCATACGACAATTTACAGATCTGTTATTCACATAGCCCATGGACAATCTATGAGATGTGTTTAAGCTCTGCTGGTGATGTACATCTCTAACATAAACTTACACGTGGTGGATTTCAATCGCAAGCAAAAATTTTTATTTATCCCAAAAATTTAAATATTCACTTGCATTGATAGGTATTTTTTTTTTTTTAATCATTCAAAGTCCTAATTTTTAAGTATTTAAAAGTACCTAATTATTATTCATCACAGTCCAGCATTAATATTTTTTTTTTTCGCAGTATTATAAGGCATAATTATCAATTAATTATGTAATAAAAATCTTGCTTATTGAATAAGCATTAATATACAAGATTCAATTATTAATTACCGCATTAATTTATAATTTCTTGAGTTCAATTATAAACTATAAGAGTAATTTGACATTTTTTTCCATTTACTGAATATTGAAGTAATTGATAATTCAGTAATTTCACAAAGATTTACTTAAGATTTATGTGTTACAATTAACTTTAAATTCATCACTGCAAAGTACTTGTCAGAGACTTTAATCTTAATATCAATTTTTGTCATGACTGTTTTTAACAAATCCATGGCTCCAAGTACCTATATTTTGACTCGTGTTCTGTCAATCCATCCACATCTACTCTTTGATAACGATTTGTTTGTATAATTTCCGCTGAAACATTCCATAAACTGAAAAGAATTAGAAAAAATGGATAAAATAGTAGGAAAAAAAATTCACTTTTACAGTTAAATGATCCGAAAATTCTATCAGAGATAAACATAAACCAATAAGAGAAATGCTGCTGGCACGAGATAGATACCGTCGTTGTGATTTCGATCGTGAGACTTGAAACAGATGGTAGATATGAGTTAAAACTGATGTTTCAGATACTTGGGTGTTCAAATAACAAAAATCTATCCGATGTTTACTACTTTTGTTGTAATAAAAAAATATCAAATGTAAATAAAAATTGAAGACACAGGTAACATGTGGTAATCTCATTAAAATTCAACAATAACTTCCGCAAATTGTGTTATCTGCAGTTATATATTATTTCGGAAAGATTTGATTTATTTTATCGATTGAACCCATCTAATAATTCGAATGTCTAAAATTTCAACATTAAAGAGAAAATGGCCTTACATCGATCATATATATCTCCACTCTGAGATCTTATATAGTGCTTATTTCATTCTGTTGATCGTTCGACTGGGCACAAACGTGGAAAGAGTTCAATTTAACAACGATCTGAGCTCAGTCTGTCCTTTCCTATTCCTGTAATCTTATTTTCTACAGCCACAGAAACCGATTGGCAATTTCACTTTAGAAATTTTAAGTAAAGATGTTAGTGAGTATTCTCTCTATGTTGTATCAAGTAATTTTAATAAACTCCTGAAATTATATTTTGACATATTAATTTAGAACAATAATAATAACATCCCTTACAGCCTATGAAATGTGAGATTTCTAGCTATAGCACAATAAAGTTTGAAAGTTTAGCTGGTAGAAAGGAATATTAGACAGCTGTAAAGTTTAGCAGGCAAGGTTATCTATTAGGTAAATGAACCAGTCATAGACGTGCTAAAGTTAGTACACAATTGACAGGGTTATGTTGATGACACAAAAAATGCGATGATGAATTCACGTAGTTACACATTTACTTGAATCGTTGGTAGTATTGGAAATACTTTGAATTGTTTATCATGACTTTGCAATAAAATATTTTATTTAATTTAACAAAATATATTTTAATTTTTAATATATTTTGGTTTAAAATTATAATGAATTTATAATGTTATTCAATTAATTAGCAATGTAGTTATTTTTTAAACACTTTAAGTGCATGAAAATAAAACACTTACAAATTTGCAATATCGTTGTAATTTATTTACAGAGAACTCAGTGTCACTATTGCATTTTTTCCTCCATCAGAATATCAATTTTTTTTCTAACATCAATTGTATTCATGACCATGCTGTAATATTGCTTAAGAAAATTTTCAATTACAGATTTTATAATTGTACTTGAAACTCTTTTATTTAATACCACTGCTATTGTTCGAATAAAAAGAATACTTATATTTCCATATAAAAAATAAAAGAAAACATAAGTTGAATGAGAAAAACGACGAATAAAAAGCAACAAGCTATTGTGATGTATTTAATGAGATTAATTTAAATATATTTTTTCATTACCTCACTGATAAGAAGTAAAATAAAGCTTATTGCAAAAAAGTTAAAATATTTGAGAGTATATCATGCAAACATTCAGGCGTTACAACTTATTTCAATTCGCCTACTCTTTATGTACATCGCACCCCTCAACGTCGAAAAAACTTTGATAATCCTCCCTCCCATTTAATATAATACTCTCTCTCACATTCTTAGTCTTTTGGGGATGACAGTAAAATACAACCGACGCTTATTAGCTGAAGCAACATGTAAATACACTCATTTTTCATTGTTAAAGTCCTTGAATAATGCTAACTTTTTTGTGTGAGTTAGTTATGGTAATAATAAATAGCATAATATTTATAAGAAAAAGTTTAAAATTAAAAATTATTTGAGTTTTTTTTTCCGGATGGAAAATGATTTAAATAATAAATACATTAGGATTATCATAAATTATTGAAGTTAATAATGATTATTTTCATTTCCCCATAGGTATCGTTCTTTTCAACAAGTCCGGAACTATCGAACAAACAACGCTTCGAATACTTCACTAGAACAATACCTAGCGATCATTATCAAGTTAAGGCGATGGTTGATATTATTAGAAAAATGGGCTGGAGTTACGTCTCAATTATTTACGAAGAAAGTAATTACGGTATTAAAGTAAGTATGAAGAGAATGTTTCACATGAATAATTATTAATAATGAAGGATATTAACATTACACATTGTATACACGAATAGAAAAAATTCATTACTATTAAAAAAACGATTTTTTAATTTTTAAAATCAATGTTTTCCAACTGTTAATAAATATTTTATAATAATAAAAAAGTTTTGATTATGAACACATTAGTAGTTTTATAATGAACAAATCTTGTTTTATCGTAAAGAAATATTTCTTAACAGTCAAGAAGCCTCTTTACTGTTACAAATCTCTTCTATCAGTGTACTAATTATCACAAGATTAAAAACTTGGATTAAAAAGGCTAATTCAGGTTTAAGACGTATGTAAATTTAACATAAATATGACATTGGTTTAATGGTATTGTAAAGTAAATAATGAATAAGTTTAATTGAAAATAATAAATAAAAAAGACATTTCTTCATAATCAATTTGAGTATCTTGCAAGTAATTACTTGTAAGATAATCGCATCAGCTTAAATACCATTTTGAATGGTCAAAATCCATGTGAGAGGTACTAAAGAGTGTAATGAATGAGCGAAGATACAGAAAAGCAAGCTATGGAAATGGTATTTCAACGCCTCACGAACATAAATGCGAACCACGAAAATGCAAATAACTTTAATCCAGCCAGCACTACGTATATCCACGTTTAGAGTCAACCCTCTCTTTAGATGCAGTGTTCTATATATAATACCAGGGAATATTTAACGGTTTAGAAATGTCACTCTTTGGACACTTCTATCTTCCTAATTGAGTTTATTGCCGTAACTTCGTTGTGACTCATACTATTTTCAAAGTATTTTAGTTCCAACAAAATTTTCTTCATTAATCCTAATTAGGTTATTACAATATATGAATGAACGACTTGCAACTCCATAAAATAGGATGCAAACTATGCATAATCATTTATATCGATTATATTATGAGAACATGATAATGATAATCAACCTACTTTTAAACAGTCACTAGGAAAGTATGAATAATAGTTGAGGTACACTGAGAAAATAATTTTCATTTCATAAATAAAAAATTTAATTTTAAATATTCGCAATTAAATATTTTATTGAATATTAAGATATGAATCTTAATAAAAATATGATCAATTCAATGAAACACTAGAATTAACCAATACTCACAAGGAGAGGGTCCAGGTTTGGAAAAAGGGATTTTATTAAGTTCCCAGTGACCCCTGAAATGAAATAAAAAAATTTTCAAATAAAGGTTATAAAAAAGACCCTAAAATTAACGTAATTACATAATAACTCATTAGTCTTAAACAAGGTTATTTTGTGTCAATAATATTGTTGCAAAGTCATTTATTTTATTAAATCTTATTGCTTGCTTAGAATAGACATAGCTGTATAAAGTTGTATAAAATTATGGAGGAAAGTGAGGTGAAGTGAAACACCAAGAAAGAACGTAAATTAACACATTAACGACACTGAAAAAAAAAATTTTTAATATCAAGTAAATATGTAATTGTTGAAGGATCAAGTAAATCATCACTTATGATAATTAAATAATTAATCAAAATAAATATTTATTAATCCATTAAATTAATTATTTATTTAACATAGTGATTATTTACTTGATCCTACAACAATTACATATTTACTTGATACTATAGTACAATTTATTTTATTAAGTGCATTTTATCAACAAATATTAATAATTTTCAACGCATTAATAAATTAAAAAATTAATGTACCAAAAGTGCAATAAGCGCTTTTAAACTTATTTTAATGAATTAGTGGATTTTCTCGAGCGTTTTACTTGACCTTATCATCTCATTTTTTCTTTGTTAAAGTTCTGATAAAGCCAATTATATCAAACTATTTTTTATTAATGAATGTTTAGAAATTAAACACTTGAAGTATTTACAATGTTAAATGTCATAAACAAACAAGACAAATTTTAAACGCTCCTTGTCGTTTACCAGAATGCTATAGTTTGTTCATGGTAATTAACATTGTAAACATTTTAAATGTTTTATTACGAAACACTTAAATTTTCTCAGATTTGCAGTGAGAAATCCAAAAGAAATATTTTATTATGATTATTCAAAATTGTGATGTTACTAGATAAAATGAATATTACTTGTTTGCAGTAATTTTTTTTCCCAGTGTGCAGAATGTATTTGTTACATTTTTTTTTATTCTGCAAACTTGCGTTGACTGATTACTACGTAGAATATATAAGACCGTGAGTGAGGAAAGGAAGAAAAATGATCGGAATTAGAAATTATGGAAAAAAATCTTCATAATTTAAACCGGGATTTAGATGCGAAAGGTACGAGATATGAATAAATGTTTTTTTTATTTTAATTCCAATTTAAGTTAGCTGCGTTCCATTACACAATATAGGCATCTAAGATAAACTTGGGTTAAAATCAACTTATCAAACAGCTTGATATTTAAAAAATTTATCTTATCAAAAAACTTTTAAACTCATAAAAATTTATTCATAAAAAACCTTTGTTTCGACTAAAACTAAAAATTTCTCATTAAGTATCAACTTTTCAGTATATTAAATTTTTCGTTTCAATTTTAATTAAATTGAATTTTCAACTACTAATACATCTTCCATAAGATACTTATATATTTCTATCCAACAGATATCTAAGATGAAAAATTATTTTTATTTTTCATTTATAAAATATTCAAATCTCGCAAATTGTAAATAACTTTGACTAAACAATTTTCTTTTTAAATTATGATAATTTTATGAGAAAGATTTATTTTTCTATTGTATGATGATAATAAATTTTTTTTCTCAATAAAAAATAATAATCTGGAATTTTTATTCAGATTATTGAAACAATTTCATCAAACCTTTTCTCTTTATAATAAAACTGAGGAGAAAAAAAATAAACCGAAAGGTTCCATTGACATCAAATATAAGTCAGCATTAATAAAACGGATTGCAAATACTTTTAAACAACCAATAGAATGACAAATAGAATGCACAAGTGAACATGAATAGAGATGAAATTGAAGCATACTGGCGAAATATTTGATAAAGCTCTCCAGGCATGTACACTGATTACAGTATACTCGATATGGATTCAATATATGCATATATTTATTTGTATAAATGTAACATAATTATCTATACATTTTAGAAAGATTAACATAAAATAAACTCAACATTAAATATGTTAATCTAAAGTATTGCGGATTCACACAGTACTTAAGCAGAAAGAATCAAATGCTAAATATTTGCTTGGATTTATAGAAATAAAAAAATATGAACGAGAGGTTGAATGTGAATAGAATATAAAAAGAATAGAGGCAGTTATTTTAAAATAAATAAATATAGATTAATTTAAAATAGATTTATAATAAAAGTATTCATCAATTTATTACATTCAACTAAGTACTAAAAAATATTATATTACTTTTTATAGGTAACATTTTCAATCATTGTCATATCAAATAAATTCCTTACTATATTATTCAAGAATGACTATTAAAAATGAACTAAAATATGACGCAAAACTTTGTTACATTAATGTACGGTGATAAATTAAGATCAGTACACCACCACTAGTAATCTGAAGTATAGATTTTTCATTTCGTTGAGTCAGAAATGAACATTGATTTATTTTTTATTCATTATTTATATTGTTCTCAGTAATTATTTCTCTTGTGGTGTTAGAAATTATTAAATAGACATCCAAAAGATTACTCCTTTCTAGCCTACATCTTGTGCAATAGCTGGGATGGATTAAGAGATTTTTGCATGATTATTTAAAATAATTAATAAATTATTATTTAATTTTTAAATAGAAAAAAAGTGGGATTTACTTAATAGGATTATTTGTAAATTAACAAAAGAATTAAAAAGTCATTTGAAAGATTTATTAAATAATAAACCAAAATTATAATTTAAATAATAAAACAATTAATTATTAAGAATAAATATTTGAGACTTAATTTTGATATTTAAATCAAAAATAATAATTTTTATTTCAAACTGTATTTTTTTTTAATTTTATAATTAATTTCGATTGGTTATAATAAAATCGATATTTATTTCTATTAATTTTCTTTTCGTAATAAAATATTTTTACAAACGATGCTTCTGACGTTTTATTTTTCTTTGCATACTCAATTTTGTCTGAAGCATTATTAAATACAATTTTTATTAGTAATATATAATAAAAAAATATTTCTAACAATGAATTTAATGATTAATAATAAATTTCCAATCTCTTAACTTTAAATTTTAACTATGAGAGTTTTTAAAAAATATTTTATTACAAATAAATTTCTTATGAAGACTTTGTTTTAGGAACTTTATGGCTCATAATTTTCCTTTCCAATTATTTTTTAAGCTTGAAATAATGAAAAAAATTATAACGAGAATTGTAAAGAATATTCAATTTCCCTTCAAAGGCTTACGAAGAACTTGAGGAACTCCTTGCCAAGAATCAGATATGCATCGCCATTAAGGAGAAACTCGTGAAGGATTCAGGAGTTGCAGAAGAAACTGCTTACGATAATATCGTTCAAAAACTACTAACAAAACCACGAGCAAGAGGTGAGTATGTGAATCGAAATTACATGAATTATTTTGATCTCATTTACAGTTTGTGTTTACCATAAAGTTCTCTCATGTAAATTTAAGTAAAATATCATTCAAGAATGTTAAGTTGCTGTCAATCCTCATAAATAATAATTCAATAGAAGTCAATAATCACTCTCATGAATAAAAGCATCTTGCAGTAGTGCGACTCAAGATTTAATGCGACACTCAAAAAGAATATTATATTGATTGTACATATTTTATAAATCAAGTTTTAGAACTTCAATCATTTTATCAATTATCTTTAATAATGTTATTAAAAATATTAACCGTACAAATAATAATAAAAATTAAAACGAAAGCTTTTTCTTATTAAATAAAGTCTGCGAATGACATCGTTAACTCTACATGAACAATGAAATTAAAGAAGTTTTAATCGACATTCTGAACAAATAAACTCAAGTATTACTTTGAAAAAAAAATAATAATAATAATAATAATTAGAAAAAAAACTTTACTATTGTCAACAAAAAATTGACTATCAATTCTCAATTTATTCCAAGAGTAATAAATTGATCTTAGATTTTTTAATGATTAAAATATAGGAGATTATAAATTCTCAAGAAATTTTATAAAAGATTATTTATGCTAATTGAGATTAAATAGGATTTAATTAAATATGCGCAAGTTAAATGATGACCTTTATGAAAACAGGGTGCATTATCTTTGGCTCCGACCAAGAAGTAGCAGGTATGATGCGAGCAGTGAGACGAAATAATGCAACAGGAGCATTCTATTGGATCGGTAGCGATGGATGGAGTGCTCGAGGCTTGGTTAGTAACAAAAATGAACCTGAAGTGGAAGGCACTTTGTCAGTTCAACCTCAGGCTAATCCTGTTGAAGGTTTCGAACAGTATTTTCTCAATCTTACGGTAGAGAATAATCGTCGTAATCCATGGTTTGTTGGTAAGTATACTTTTATAAAGATCTATCGTAATAATTTTAACATTGAAAAAATGAAAGAATGCAAAAAATATAATTTTTAGAATTTTGGGAAGATCATTTCCAATGTCGTTATCCAAACGCATCACGAACTCCATACAATCAAAAATATAAAGTTTCATGTACAAAAAAGGAGCGACTTACCAAACAAAATACTGCATTCGAAGATCAACTTCAATTTGTTTCAGATGCAGTTATGGCATTTGCTTATGCTTTTCGGTAACTTTTCCGAATATTTCACTTCTATTGAATAAAATATAAATTCCATCCTGCTACATATGTATATACTCAAAACAATGTTTGAATTCAGGGACATGCATGCAGACCTGTGCCATGGCCAGCCAGGACTTTGTGATGCGATGAAACCAACTAAGGGAACGGAACTTTTAAAATATTTGAAAAAGGTTGAATTTCAAGGTATTATGCGGAAGAGAGAATTAACAAACTAATCTTTTTAGAAAAAAAAAATACTCGAATAAAGTCATGAGTGAATATATCCAACGGATTTCCGTATTTTTATTTTATTGAATAAATTTTTTATCCATTCTTTAAAAGGTCTTAGTGGGGATGAATTCCATTTCGATAAAAATGGTGACGGACCAGCACGATATAACATTATTCATTTCAAACAAGTATCACCGGGCGAATATAGATGGATACGTGTTGGAAAATACTTGGAAGGCGAGCTTGTATTGAATATGTCAGGTACTGAAAAGTTTCAGATAATAACGTATTTTTATTTTCAATATTACATACATTTACTCTATATTTATATTAATTAACATATCATACAGCATTGTTGAAATTTCTAACGAACAATGGTATTTCAAATAAACAATTTCCATCATCACTGCAGTGTTCACGTATTATTCAGTCGAGTATATTTATCCTGTAATAAGCTCATATAACAAAAAATATTTTGCAGAAATTCAATTCCGGCTAAATAATCCTGAACCTCCCGAGAGTGTATGCTCCTTACCGTGTCGAGTTGGGCAGGCGAAAAAATATGTTGAAGGAGAGAGCTGTTGTTGGCATTGTCTTGATTGCACTCAATATCAAGTATGATAAGAAAATAACTTTAATACTTTTCCCTGATTTTTAACTTTTCATAAGGAAGTTATTAAAACAATGTTTATTGCTGATAGATTTGATTATTATCAATAAAATATTGATATTATTAATTCTACATGGCTTATAATAATTGCATATAGTTTATAAAAATTCTAATTTATTGTAAATAATTTTAAAAAAAATAACAATGATATGACAAAATGATGAATTTTAATAAATACAGACATGAAAGGTTTCTATAAAATTATAACAAAAAAATTTTCTATTATGTTTTAATTATAAAATTAAACTGAAACTTTTTTTAATAGATACGACATGCTACTGATCAAACAAGATGTGTTCAATGTCCTCAAGGAACAGTTCCTGATGAAACACACTCGTATTGTCGAGATATCCCAGAAGAGTTTCTGAAATTTGATAGTGGATGGGCAATTGGTGCAATGTCGTTTTCCGCAAGCGGGATTCTGGTAAGTTCATTAATCTTACTCTACACAGTCTAAAGGATTTCAAAGTTCCTACATCATTTAATCCCTGAGATTAACTCTGTGTGTTGATTCAGGTAACTCTCTTCGTTGGAGGAGTATTCGTCAAATATAACGATACTCCAATTGTACGCGCTTCAGGGCGAGAACTTTCATATGTACTATTAACTGGTATATTGTTGTGTTACTTGGTGACATTTACACTTATTTTGAAACCAACTGATCTTGTTTGTGGCATTCAAAGGTAGGTTATTCCTTATCTTAATTTAAAATTCTCTTTTGAATAAAATAACCTCATCAATCATTTATTTTACAGATTTGCGGCTGGTTTTTGTTTCACTGTCGTCTATGCTGCATTGTTAACAAAAACAAACAGAATATCACGAATCTTCAATAAAAGCAAAAAAAGTGCTAAAAGACCATCCTTTATATCACCTCGATCTCAACTTATTATTTGCTCACTTCTAGTGGGTGTTCAAATTCTTATAAATGCAGTATGGATGGTAATCGATCCAGCTAAAGCTCGTCATCATTATCCAACTCGTGAAGATAATCTCCTTGTCTGCAATAGTTATATAGATGCTAGCTATATGATAGCCTTTACTTACCCTATTATTTTAATCGTTGTTTGCACCGTTTATGCTGTTTTAACACGTAAAATACCTGAGGACTTTAATGAAAGCAAACATATTGGTAAGATAAAATTTAAAGTAATCTCAAAAATGTAATTAATAATACACTTTTATATTTTATCAGGCTTTACTATGTACACTACCTGTGTGATATGGCTGGCGTTCGTTCCACTTTACTTTGGAACCGGTAATCATGTGGCTTTACGAATCACTTCGATGTCTGTAACCATCAGCCTCTCAGCATCCGTTACGATAGCATGTCTCTTTAGTCCCAAGGTACCTTGAAGAGTGGGATAATCTATCCACCGGTATGTTCGTTGCATATTAATGTCAACCATACTCAATTCCATTTCAGCTGTACATAATCTTAATACATCCCGAGAGAAACATTAGGCGAGGTCGAGGTCCTTTTGCTCTCAAACACTCTACAGTCGCAAGGACTAATGCTTCCAGTATGATTTCAACGGTTACTTTAACAGCGGCAACATGTGATCAGAATAAAGCTGTTAAAGGACAAACAATCTCGACCATTGACTGCTCAACTCAAAGTGAATGTATGTGAAGATGAGATTATTAATTAGTTCATAAATTATCTTGCATGATGCTTAGATTAAATTTTTTATTATTTTTTATTACTGCATTATGAACAAAAGAATAATGAATATTTTTCGTTTTGTTGATAGTGCTTGAAATGGAAGTAAAAGACTTTAAAAATGGTAAATTACCAGTGACATTAACAAGTCGAGCAACGCAAACTGTAGGCAACAACAATGACAAAGAAACAAATGTTCCTTTATCAACATCAAATGATACTGACACTATTGAAGCTTCAAAGTCATTGAATAATAAAAAAATTAGTAATGGGCCTATAAGTAAGAATGACGTCACATCATAGCAAAGTAATATCTCCTTACAATTGGCCGTCCTACAATCAGATCTTATTCCTATTTCTAAAGAACCAGTAGAAATCTAATTATGATAAAATTATCTCAGCTTGACATATCTATGCAATCAGTAATATTCAATTAATCAACGCTCATAAAAGTACGCGTGATCATTGATATCAACAAAAGGACCACAAAACTGAAAATAATTCAAGATTAATTATAGATCATCAAATATTCAAATGATAAATTCAATTTTCACTTAGAATATTATTTAAATATTTCAATTCGTAACATTTCATTCATTTATTATTATTAAACTATCGCTATGTTAAAATGGTCATCAACGATAAAAAAAGAGCGACATTTAATCATATTAAAAAAAATAATTGAGAGGACAAAAAAAGATATAAAATAAAGTATAAAAAGAATTTAACAAAGTAAATTAGCATTCTACCGAATAAAACTAATAAATACTAATGAATAAAAATTATAAATTCGTATAATAATAAAAATAAACGTAAATAATCTAGGGGAATAAATTCAGTTATGCTGTGATTATGTAATATAATAAAATATAAATAAGAATATATATATATATTAAAAATAGGCATTCTAAAAATAATAAAAAAATGTAAAAAGTTTTTATACCTACCTCTACTTGAGATATAAATTTAAATGGTTTTATCAACGTTAATATTCAAATATTAATATATATATATATATAAAAACAAATATTATATGAAATCATTTTAATCAACAATAAGTGTTAATTGTAAGTAATTAATTATAAGTTCATAAGATAATTATTAGTATCAACAATATTAATAAATAATGTAAATGAAATTGATTGATTTTTTGCCATTACCAAAGAAAAGTTTTAAATTTATGTGGCCAAATAAGTGTGCACGATTGAAAAAACTATTAAACTTAGTTTGTGATTTAATGAATGTGGTTTTTATCAGCCAAAAGATATATGTATGATAGCTTTAAGCAAAGCAATATGTGAATACTATCTCAAATCACTAGCAAATGAGTAGCAGCTCTATTCATTAAGGTGTTAAAATGATAGTAATTGTATAAAAAAAATTAAAATATTTAATGTCATTCTTCCTATGAGATTAGAAATAATTTAATTTTCATAATTCTCGGATAGAGATCATCTACAAGCTTGAGGAATTGTAAAATATAAATTCAAGTTGATCAATTTATAATTATTGATCTTCTTGCAATTAAATTACAAATTTATCTCCGTGTTAATAAACTTCTTAATCTGACATAAAAATTTAGAAAAATGTTTTTTGTAAAGAAAAAAAAAAGCTTTAGCATAAACATGATAGTTAAAGTTGATATTAAAAAATATCTTATATCAATTGAATGAGATTAACATTTGTATAGAATATATTTGTTTTAATAATTTATTTTTATTAAATAAAAAATTACAGCTAATAAAGTACATTTATGAGCCCAATGTTCTTGATTAGTTGTAAAATAAAATTATTAAAAATAATATTAGCTCATGTTAAAACTTTAATTCTAAGTATACTCAATAATGATACCTAATTATAAATTATAAATATTTGTAATTAACATGCAATGCAAGAATAATGTCAAACTTTGTGTCATACTTCGAAGATATTTAACAAAACATAATATAAAATTAGGATTCTTTAAAATACCTGCATTTATTGCAGATCTCTGGGTTATGAAATACATTTTAAAAATAAATGATGGAGTAAAGAGATTTGAATTATCCCATGTATGTATGTTCTTTGTCGAATGTATGTAGACAAAACTAAAAAAAAAAAGTTATTTATTTGATAGCATACAAAAAATACAAGGTATATAGTAAATATTGTGCATGAACATGAGATTTGTTTATTATCTAGTGATTTTAATATTATCATAATTATTATGATTGATAGTATGATTTAATAAATTTATTAACATGCTGATGAGTCTTCTTGCAACCGTCGATGATCAGTTCATCATGGCACTTACTGGATCAATAGTAGATCCTGTAAAATTTTTATTAAACGTATGACTTGTTATACTTTCGATTATTCTCAAATTTCATGAATTATTTATAATAAAAAAACCTATTTAAAAAAACCCACCTTATATCAATATTTTTACTGATAGTTATATTTAAGCACTCAATTCTTCATAAATCTCATGATAAAAATTAATTTTGTATGAAAAAAAAAAAACACTTCTATCTTGATTTTTATTATAATAAATAACAAAATAAATCCATAACAAGTATCTATAATCACTAAACAATTAGGATGAAGGCTGCAAAGGTCGAGATAGAGAGATAAAAAGAGAGAAAAAAGTTTGACTAAAATAAATTAAAGTTTTATTGTAGCAATTACAAGCTCACATTCTTTTATTTACTTCCTAAATTCACCTTCATTCAAATGAATTTTGTTTGATTTTTTATTTTTTAATTTAGTAAAAACGTCTTCAACAGAAATGAAATTTTTTTCTATGAGTATCACCTCTTTAATGGCACATTTTTGTTAAATATAAATTCAGATCTCGATCCTCTGCGATTTTTTTTACACTTTCTTTAAGGCCAGGGTACAAACATTGAAAATTTATTGAAAAGTTGAATTTACGTCTTCCAGAACTTACCACTGCTTCTGATACCTTTAGCTTTTTGTTGTTTCTTCTTCGAGTCTGATGATACTGACATAGCTTCTCTGCCAGATTCACTTCCACCAGCTGCTGAACTACCACCAGCAATATCAGCTTCTTGAACACCGCCTCCACCTGCTTGGGCCATTAATGTCTTTTTTATCGTAGCAATCTATAAAATAATGTCAATTAATTAATTACAAATTCTTAATTGTTCAAGTCGTTTTATCAGTTTTGTGAAACTTACATCTTGTTGGATATCCTCTTTGTGAGCAGTGGCAGCGCGCTTGTTCATATTAGCTCTGTTAACTTGTTGTTCAATACATGCCAAAACTGCTTCACAAGTTTGACCCCAAGCAGCTAAAGTATCCATCACAGCACCAGTTTCGCCAGGTCTTACATCTCTACCAAGCCCAGCATAATCAACTTCAAGTTGTGAATTTTTTTGATCCAACTTTCCATGAATAATGTCAGCATAAACCGCTTCAATAATTAAATCTTCTAAGTCTCGTACATTCTTTATATCAAGCTCTTCCAGTAAAATAGAGTATGGAATGCATTTAGACTTCTCTGCTAACGTAACTATCGTTAAATGCTGAAGTTTTTTCTTCTGTATAGGTGTAAGAGTTAATAATTTATCTTTATTAGCTAAATACTCTTTGTAAGTTCCGTACGCAAATAGGTTAAGTGTGTTCCAGTATTCAGGATGTGGACCATGCTCGAGTTCTTTAATATTTGGCATATCTAATAATTCTCCAAAAACATGAACTCCAGGTGTTTCGATCGCTTGTTTGACCAATTCTAATGCAGCAGCCCCTTTGGCAGTTTTTGCGAGTAAAACAAATTGTTCTAGTGGATTATTTGATGGCTTTTCAGTTGGTGATGCAATTGATTCACAAGTAGTTCCTGAACCTGTCATCATAAGTCTGAAAATCATAAATATAAAATATATTATTCTATTATGATACCTTGAATTCGATACAATAACCTCAATCAATAAATTAATACACACAAAAAAAATTAATATGATTAATAACTAACCTAAAATAGGATAAATCAAAGCAATAATTAACAAACAATCGCGTATTTTAAATTAAAATAAAGCTTATCCATCAATTATAGTTATAATGTATCGACTATGTTTAGAATTGAGGTTAGAGTACCTTGTGCATTTATATTTAAAGTTTAATTTTGCATTAAGTGAATGAAATTCAAAGAAATTAAGAAATGCATAGTTTAAAAATAGATCAAAAAAGTCTCACCTTAGCGAAAAATTAGAATTCCACAATAAAAATAATTTGTTCTATATAACAGTGTGTTTAACTACGTGTAGTGTAACTCTAAATCAGCTGATCAGCTGTGAAGTTCCCCCACCAATGTTTTTTTGGCTGAATCTTCACTTTAGAACATTTTCATCGTCTTCATCGGTAAGAGAAAAGTGTGCCAACGGTGTCTGGGCACATGTTTCTATATTAGTATTTTTTTTTTTTTTTGAATTCTACTAATTACTTGAACATGGTTTAGTTGATGTTACAATCTTTTTCGACGTCTTATTTATTCAAAAATATATTCAGTAGATAAACAAAGCAATTATTACTATATTGCTTGATAATATGGATGATGAATTAGAAGATAAAGTATTGTATCAGGTAAGTAACACGATAATTCAGTACTCTTATACAATTATTGCTATAAAATTATTTATTTCTTTCAATGTTAAACAATTTAACAACTCATTTTCATGCTTTTAGACTTATCTGTCATACATGAAGCTCATGTCGAAGCTTGCAGTGGGGTTGCCCACTGGGTTTACCTCTGGGATTAATACACCGTTGGGTTATTTTTGGAAAATGATACGCTCTTATGCATTAAGACCAGAAATTGTTGTTTGTGGCGCAGTAGTATTAATTGTACTTCTCTATTTGCAAGCAGTCGACGCTTGGAGTAGGAGTTTTATCGGAAAAATTCATTATACCGTTTGCAAAACGAATTCGAAGGTAATTATTGAGTCACACTATTTTTTATCAATCATACGAATGATTTATTATAAACGTTTGTCTAGGTTTCAAAGCTACAATATTTAATTAGCAATTCTAGTCATGCTGAAAAGCTTAGTTGGGAACTTAAACAAAATAACGTTGCTGCATATGCCGTTCAAGGTTACAGAGATCATATGGAAGATAGGTTTATTGTTAATGATAATATAGAAGACACAGGTGTATCGCTTTTTGCTGTCTTTGATGGTCATGGAGGAGAGGTAAGCTGTATGATTATATTTTTTATCACTCGTGAATTTAATTATTGAAGGATAATCTATTACAGTTTGCTGCAAATTATGCTCGAGATAAATTAATACCAAATATAAATAAAAAAGTGATAGAACTAAAAAATCTATTGTCTGGAAAAGCAGTTCCTCAAGCTGATCAAAATAAAAATGACAATGAAAGACCTAAAGAATCGCAAGCACTGCAAGCAATTGATGAACATCTTGAACGAAGGAAATCTTTCAAAAAAGCAGTTAGCACAACAGATGAATGTATTAAAAATACAACCATCACAGATCCTGAATTGTTAGGAAAACTGGATAGCCTTCTCCGGCCAATAACGAGAGAAGTAAACACAGAAAACATTTTCTCCAGCATGATGAATATTAATAAACATATAAAAATACATAATTCATCATATGACTTATTTTTATTAGATGTAATTAAATAGAATATTTAAATTTCAGGTTAAGCCAACCAGAGGAAATAAAGTTCCACCGCGTGAAGTAAACATATCGTCATATATTGAAGGTCAAAAAATAAATTATGGGAAATTGTTAACAGATGAAGTTATAGCGGCGGATAATTTATTAGTTGAAGCCGCTAAAAAAAATATGAACGTAGCTGGTAAATCAAAAATATATATTTTTATAATAAATTTAGTACACTACATTATTTTCTATCAATCATTAATCAATGCTTCTATTGGGATGTTTTAGGTACAACAGCTTTAATAGTAATTTTAGATGATAATAAATTAATAGTGGCAAATGTTGGAGACTCTCGAGGTGTAATGTGTGACAGTAAAGGCAATGCAATACCGCTTTCTTTTGACCACAAGCCTCAGCAGGTAAATTAAAATAAAAAAATATCTTATAAAAATTAAATAAGTTTCGATTAATAAAATTATTTATGGAAATTATCAGCAAAGAGAAAGACAGAGGATAAATAAAGCAGGAGGTATGGTGACATTCAATGGTGTCTGGCGAGTAGCTGGCATTCTAGCAACATCAAGAGCCTTAGGAGACTATCCATTAAAAGATAAAAAACTTGTCATTGCTGATCCAGACATATTGACATTCGATCTAAAGGATCATGATCCGATGTTCTTGATTCTAGCTTCTGATGGATTATGGGATACGTTTTCAAATGAAGAAGCTGTTGCTTTTATTAAAGAACGACTTGGTGAGCCTCATTATGGTGCCAAAAGTATTACTCTTCAAAGCTATTATAGGTTGGTTATTTTTTAATCTATATTTCATTTTATAATTATTCTATTATTGTAATGATTTACAATGATAAAATATGTATATGTTTCAGGGGATCTTTAGATAATATTACCGTCGTTGTAATAAATTTAAAGGACCGTAAATATAGCGTGTCTGAATACAAAAAACATTCTTAATGTGTAGGTTTTTTTAAAGTTATTTATATTTACATTTATTAAACTACGAATGATCAAATTTACGATATTAATATTTTAATTAAAAATATATAACTGTTTTTAATTACAATATCTGCTCTTTGAGTCATAGTGAAATTATTTATTTATTTATACACTATATACTGTTGATAAATGAGTTAGAAATAATTCATGGGATATTTAAAAACTTATGAAGACTTGAGAAAAACATAATTATAAACTATAAAAATTTTTTATCAAATAATACTGCACTATAAGTACACAAAAAAATTAATTAAATGCTTTCAGCTTATTAAAAACTTTGTCTTGATGTGACTTGAAACATTATATTGTTTTTAAATTATGTAAAAATTCATTTCAGTCTGTCAATTAAACTTCTATTTTCAACTTTTTAATAAATAAAAAAGATCGTAATTTATCAAAAAAAAAAAATAATGGTTTGCATGATATCTTGAGTGTTCTAATATTAAATTGATAACACTAAATAAAATGTGAGTCTGTGAGTTTTTTGGTCGGATATATCACAAACAATGATAATTGACATGCAGATAAAATGCATCCTAGGAAATTTGGAATTTGTATAAAAGGATCCTCTAATAAAGAGCCGTAGGCGAACCACTGACAAGATACAACCAAAGATGATATTATCACAGGAAATGGTAAACTATCAGCACTTTTCTGTTTAATTACATGAGCCTGTAACATTAGTAATTGTGTTATAAAAAACTTTCTCTTTCCGTTCATGCATAATTCGATGTCTAACTAATTAAATTTTATAATCAATTGATTAAATTACCAGCATTGTTAAAGGAGATGCAAAGAATAAAATTGTTAAACTACAACTTAAAAATCCTATTTGTTTTGTAGCTAGTGCTTTATCCTCTTGGGTCAAACTGTAAATATAAACTGCAGAGATAAAGACTATTGCTGCTATGAATTGCTTCAGTATCACATTTTTCTTTAAAGAGTATAATGTATAAATTGCAATGTAACCTAATTGCAATGTTGTTCCAAATACATTTACCCATATCACGAAATGGTCATTTATCATTTGACCATATCTTAACCAGAAACTACATCTGTAAATAATAACTCATTGAAATTATAACATTCAATAATATTTAATTATGCAGATTATTGCTTCATCATAAATTCGGCGTTTTGAAAATTATTTTTATTTACTTACGACATTAGACATGTGATAAATGAAAGACCTGAAGCATCTCCAGTTGTCCCATTAATTATATATTTTCTACATACCAATCTGAAGAAATAGTTGATTGATAAAATAGAAAAGCCCAAATGTTTTAAAAGATTTTATTATCCAAGTAGACCTTGTAAATAACTTAACTTACGTTCCTGATAAAAATTGCAATACAGTACAAATTGATGCAGATGTTGCTAAAAGGTCCTTGAAGGTTTCTGACACCATAATCATTCTTTTAAATCATCCTCATTATTTTAAAAATTATTTTATATTAATTTAAGTGTAAACACTTGTTCAAATAAATTCTTATGATAGTGAGTGATGACAATTTGTTGATTACGTATGAAATACGAATATTTAATTCGCGAAACTGCCGGTAGGCGGCCGACTAGTCTCCCTCTGTGAGGCAAAAGAGAAAAAAATGTAATTTCTAAACACACCAAATTAGTCTTTTGAAATGACTGTGTTTATTAATAAAAACATTTTTTTTTATAAATTTATGTATATTTATAATCTCATAATAAACTACAAAAGTATTTATCTATGTGTCGAGTAGAAAAAGTAATTCTAGAAGTGTTGACATTGTCAGCAATTATAAAAAATTTATCTTTTCTGCAGAATAACCTCTTCTATACAAACTCATCTTTATTTTATTAACAATAACATACTCATTAAAATTTTCATAAAATGTTAGAAGGATTAGTAGCTTGGGTACTTAATAATTACCTTGGGAAATATGTTGAAAATTTAAACACTGACCAACTAAGCATCGCTCTTTTGTCAGGTTAGACTTTATTCAATAATCAGATTGAAACTTGCTAAACTTATGACTAATTGGATATTGTTTTTTTTACTATTAGGAGAAGTAGAACTTGAAAATTTACCATTAAAAAAGGATGCATTAAAACACATTGGCCTTCCAATTGAAATAAAAGCAGGATTTATTGGAAAAGTAAGACTGCAAGTACCGGTTAGACAAATAAGAACGGCATCATGGGTTATAGCTATCGAGCAACTTTATTTAGTGGCTGGACCAATAAATTTAGATGAATATGATAGTGAAGTTGAGGAACAGATATTTCAAGAATATAAACTTAGTCGACTAGATGCCCTGGAAGCTCGATGGAGAGCGAGTAATGAACGAGACGTTGGATATTATGCTTCAAGTTATAGTTCTTGGTTAAATTATGGGACATCTCTAGTCACAAATATCATAGAAAATCTTCAATTAAATATTAGAGATGTTCACTTGAGATATGAAGATGATGTGACACTTGGCGATGGTTCCGGAGTAGCTCTAGGTATTACAATAAAAGCTTTAACAGCTCAAAGTTGTGATTCAACTTGGACACCAGGATCTACTTCCTGGAATGTCAATGATGCTTCATTCAAACTTATGGAGCTCGATGGCTTGTCCATTTACTGGAATCACTTGAATGTCGACCAAGTTTTCGGAAGATTAACTCTTGGAGATTTGGCAATAGCAATGAGTGAATCAAAAAATACCAAATGGAATTATGTTTTATCTCCTGTGAGTGCACAAGCACATATCAAAAGAGACAGATCAGAAAAACCATTAAGAACAATTTCTCAGCCAAGAATAATAGTCAATCTTCAGCTGGATCAGGTTCCATTATCTTTAACTGATGAACAATATGAACAAATGGTGAGGTGTATTAGAGAATTAGAGAACATTGATCATCGTCGAAGACAATGGAGATGTCGTCCATCTATGCCAGTTGCCTCAAATCCTAAAGAATGGTGGAAATATGCAGCTCGGTGTCATCTAGGTAAAGATACATTGAAACCTAAAATGTCTTGGGACGATATGATTAAGCGTGCTCATGATAATGTAATATATGTTGAAGCAATTAGGAAGCTTTTAGATACGCCGACAGCAACTTTATCTCCCGATATTAAGTCAATTAAAGAGAAAATAGAGTATGAACGAAGTTTTGATGATCTTAGAATGCTTAGAGAAATTGCAATGTCGAAAGTACGACCACCAAAACCGATTCAAGAAACTCCAGCACCTGTTTCACCAGCAGCTAGAGGAATGTTGGTGCAGTGGTTTCCTCAATGGTGGGGATGGTATTCTAAAACTCCCGCCAGTTCCCAATCTACTTCTTCAGCATTTGATGGAGAATTATTAGACGTTTTAGCTGATACTATTGATGATAATACTCTTCTGAGACGTGATACGGTTTTTGGTCAATTTAATTTTACGTTGTCTAAAGGAGCTATTTCTTTATGTGCTTCAGAGAAGAATATTGATGTTAAAAAAACTGTTATAGAACTTCAATTTGAACGTGTTAATTTAAGCTATGAATCAAGACCTAGATCAGGCTCTCATAAATTTTCAATAAGTTTGGGAGCTCTTTTTCTTCATGATTTTTTAACTGAAAATTCAATGTTTCCTATCTTAATTCAACCACAAACTATCAGTGGTTCTTCTTCAAGACTACGAACTTCATCAGAAAAATTAGTAGTTCAACAGCCGGTTCAACCATTATTTGAATTAATTTACGAAAAGAAACCATTTCATGTTAATACTGATCATGCTTTACATCTTTCTACAAGATCTTTAGATGTTGTTTACAATCCTACAGCTATCAAGTGGTTAATTGATTTTATCAGCAATCCTCATAAAAATTCTTCAGCTCATCGACTTCAAGCGATGAAGAAAAGAACTCGAAGACAATTGATAAAAAATTGGGAACAAATTTTAGAAGGAGATTTTGTTTACAGATCGTCTTGGGATCTTCAATTCAATATTTCAGCACCTCAAATTTTATTAGTAGAAAAATTCCAAGATTCAAATGGAGCTGTTATTGTTGTAGATTTCGGAAAATTACATTTAACAAATAATATTGGCAATAAAAAAGTAACTTTAAGACCTGGATCGCCAAATAGTGATGATGATTTCAATGATGTAAATTCAAGAAATATAAAAAATCAAAAGGAACAACAAGAGAATGGAGATGATGATGACGATGATGAAGATGAACGATTTCAAACACCATGCTCTACTCCTCCAGGTAGTCAAGAAAATGGATCAATCGTTGAATATCAAGGTATATCAGAAACGGCTTTACATCATAAATTGTACGATCAATATAGCATAGATCTTTTCGATCTTCAAATACTTGTTGGAAAAATAAAGGATAATTGGAAGCATGCAAGAACTCGAGGTATGTCAAGTTTACATGTTTTAGAACGATTTAATATTTCTCTACAGATTGAAAGACGAATTGTTTCAACTATGGATCCTCAATATCCATCTCTAACAATCTCAGGAAATCTTCCTAGACTTGTTGTTCATGTTAATGAGCAGAAAGTTGAAGTTATTCGATCTATGAATCAATTATTATCAGTATTCTGGACAACTTCAGAGTCACCAAGTCGACTTGATGCTCAAAATGAACCGGAAAGTCCAAAAAAAGAAGAAAACCTTGATCGCACATTGGCTCATGCCATGATGGTTCAATTTATTATTGATCAAATGACGTTTGAACTACAATCTCGAGGTAGAAGTGTCGCAGAATTACAAGTGTCTGGAGTGAAGGCAGCATTAAGCAGACGACCTGCAGATTTAAATGTATCTTTATCAGTTCATGGACTCCTCTTAGTAGATGCAATGCAAGAATTTGGTCCCGACTTTGAATTATTGGTAGCTAGTCATAAACATGTTGGAATGGATAGTGTATCTGGAAGTTTAAGGGACTCGGAACCAACCTCTCCAACATCTCCAGTATCACCAGGATCTCCAGATCCAAGCCTTCCAAGACGACTAACATCTCCAGTTGCACTTACACGTGCTCTATCTAGTCTTGCTCATGATGTTAAAAATATTTGTTCACCGAGAAATAATTCTTTAAGCGGTTTAGAACAGCTTGATAATGAAGCTTTAATTGTTATTGACTTAATTCTTGTTGAAGATGCATCTGAGAAACTTAGAGTAGCAAACATTCAGTTTAATAATTTAGATATAATTGCAAATCAAGAAACCATTGTTGAATTAATGGGCTTTGTGAAAAGAATAATGCCGTCTAAAACGAAACATTCAAAAATTGAACGTCAAGATTCTTTATTAAATCAATCTTTTGAAGCAACAACTCCAACAAGAACAGAAATAACATTCGATTTTCATCGTTTGAATGTTTTATTATTAAGAGCAGTGATGCAAGAAAGCCATTTAGTAGGCCAAAAAATAGCTACAGCTACGATGACTGATGCTAGAATTCAAGCAACTTTAGCAATAAATACTTCGATATCTGGCTCTCTAGGAGGCCTTCAGGTTCTTGATCAAACTTTAATAGGAAAAACTCATCAAAGAATTATAAGTGTTGGTAGAGATCCCTTAGCGGATCCAGTTCATGTGCCTTTGGATTATTATTCAGGACTTGCCAATCAAGCAGAAGCTTTTAGATTTTCTGTGAATCGAAATTCAATATTTCAACCTTCTTCAGAAAGCCCGATAATCGAATCAGATGTCTCTATAAGAGTAGGAAGTGTTTGGTACACTCATGCGCCTCATTTAATTTCTGAACTTCGATCATGTGCTGATGAATTTAAGCAGTACATGAGCAATTTAGCAAGACATATTGGAGCTGCTGCTACAGATATGGCTATAGGTTTGGTCCAAGCTGATGACTGGACTGTTCCTCAAAGAAAACGTTTACCTAGTGTTTCCTTAGTTGATGGAAATGATAACTCTACAAGTGTTCTACGTCTAAAGCTTGATGTAATTCTTGACAGTCCAGTATTAGTTATTCCAAGAGCATCTCACAGTTCTCAAGTATTTGTAGCTCATCTCGGAACAATGTCACTCCAACATGAACCACCTGGAGATATCTCTGCTAAGCAGACAGCTAGCTTTGAAGTTAAAGACATGAATTTATATTCTTTAGATATTGCTTCAAAATTTGGTCAACCAGCAGGTACTACGCCATCAAGAGCTGAAGATATGTATAATTGTAAAGATTCAGGAAGACCGATTCTCCATGATACTACTTTAAAAATCACTGTAGAAAAAAGTTCTATCGCTACTTCGTTACATGGATCTTGCTTTTTGATAGATCAAGATATTCCAACGATTTATCAACCTATTGTGCAAGTTCATGGTGCAGTGACGACTCCATTAAAGGTTTCTCTTTCTCGTGGACAATATGAACAACTCTTAGATACAATTCATGGTCTATTTTCTGTACCAAAAGTGAATGAACCAGTTATTGTCAAACCAGTTCAAAAAACAGAACCCCACGCTTCTGAAAAATCATTTGATGTATCTTTAAAGGTTCTTTTTGAATTACCTACACTTTGTATTCAATTAAAACAAGATCATTCAGAGCAGCCTTTAGTACAATTATCAATGCAGGATTTTGTAGTGAAGTATGAAAAGTTACATAAAAATGAATCATCGACTCAAGTATCATTACGATCTCTTCTTATGGAAGATCTGTTGTGTCCTGTTGGATCAAGGCATCGTTGCATGATGCAATCATCAGCACCAACTCGAGCTCGACTACCCCTAGGAGTGTCTAAATCATGTCCAGACTTTGCTGTCAACAAGAAATGGAGAAGTGACCATAATAGAGGAAGTTTGCCAGATAAATTAGAGACTTGCACACTTTATGGAACGATTCCACCACATTGGAAGAAGCCTATGTCACTTGTAGGAACTCCAAATACTCCTCCACCATCACCTGGAGCAGTTACTTGTGAAGAAAATCTTGTCTTAATAAGTATCACATTGACAGAAATAATTCCTGATCAAGAAATTGATCCAAATGCTCGTTCTATTCATCACACATCGGTTTGCATTGATTTTAATTGTCTGGATTTAATTGTAAGTGTTGAATCTTGGATGATAGTTCTTGATTTCTTCGGTATTGGAACTACAAATGAAGAGACTTATCAAATAAATATTCAAGAAGAAGAAACGTCGGTGATTTCTCAGGATATGAATAACAGATTGAATGAAATTAGTGAATTTCGGTCAGAAACTGATATAGAGGTACGTTCTTTGACTATGATTCTAACTCGAACTGATAGAGAGATTGCCAAAGCGAATATATCGAATGCTAGCATGAGAATTATAAAAGCTTTAAATAAAACAAAGGTTTCTGGATCTTTAGGATCTATGTCGTTACTGGATTTAACTCCTCATGGCCGGTTTTATCGGGAAAGATTCTTATCATCAGGTAGAAAAGCTCTTAATTTTCAATATTCAAGTTACGAAAATAGTACTAAATTTAATTATGATTCTAAACTGAAACTACAAATGTCTGCTGTTCATTACGTTCATACGCAACGTTTCATAGCTGAACTTCAAGCATTCTTTCGTCATTTCTCTCAACTCCGAGCAATTATGGCTAATCTTAGAGCCGGAGATGTTGATGTGGTGGACATTCATCAACGAAAAAGCTCAAGACTATCACTGGAACTTCATGCAGGAGCTCCAATTATTTTACTTCCAGTTAGTTCTCAATCAGACCAGCTGATAGTTCTTGATCTTGGTGAATTAACTGCTCATAATTCTTTCCACAAATCTGAGTCTGATGTACAATGCCTTTTAGATGTAATGCTATTGGAACTGGTAAACATGGATGTATATGCAGCCCAGAGAGTGAAAAATGATGATAAACATGACAATGATACTGATAATATGATGATTGGTGGATTTTATTTGAATAAATTAGGCCCATCTTTACTTACTGAAAAATGCCATTTAAGTTTGAAGATCGAAAGGAATCTTGATTATGACATTAGCCGAAGTATTCCTGATTTATCTATCCATGGAACCTTGTCAACTATGAACATTGCTCTTGATCCTGCTCAATACATGTTAGTTCGTGGACTTTTATCCTATAATATTGGCGAGAATTTGGATGATATTCGTATGTTTTTGGATGATTTGAGTGATGTGAATAAATATTTCATGACAGAAGAACCAACATCGATGGAAAAAGTTTGGACCAGGTCATGTATTACTTTGGATATAGTCAATGTAACATTGAAACTACATCCTAATCATGGAATAGCAGCTTTAGCTTGCGTTAATTTCATCAAATCTCGCTTGACTCTTGATTCGTTAAGTGATGGTTCTCAAGATATAGATTTAGTATCTCAAGAAATTTTGATTATTGATACTCGATTCCAAGATGAACCAGTCAACAAAAGATCCAATGTATTTACCAGCATTCTTCAACCGTTAAAAAAATTCGATAAAATTGATGGTCGAGTTCAAGCTGAAATTCATCATCGTAGAAGAAAAAATACAGCTGCAACTACAATTTTACTACATAGCATGAGATTAACAGCCATTCTGGATTGGTGGGAAGCAGTGAAAGATTTCTTGGTGTTGAATTCTCCAGAACCTGAACCTATTTTGGAAGTAACCCAATTGCCTTCTGTATCTCAAGAATTCAACAATGAAGTAATGCAGAATAATACTTCACCATTTGAGTTGAAACTTAATATCACAGATTCAGAATTAGTGATTGTTGAAGATACTTCTCTTTGGGATACAAATGCAGTTATTTTAAAATGTACAGCTATCTTATCTTATCGATCTCTTCCTCAAGAAGATGAAAAACCTCTGTCATGTAATTTATCAAATTGTGAGCTTTACTCTTGTATCCTAGGGATGGAAGATGAAACTGCACTGTCAATCATTGATCCAGTGACTGCTAGTTTCGAATTAACGAAAGAAAAATCATTAGAAATTCAATTACAACCTTTGAGCATAAAATTAAGTTATCATGATGTTACAATGTTTGGAAGAATGTTGAGTTCATTACCAAAACAGACTTTATTAGCTAAACAACGAGGATCCCAAGGACCTCCAGCTAATGCTAAAAACCATATAATGAAGCTGTCAGCTTTAGGGTTTACTGAAACTGATTGCGAAGCTGCTTTGGATAAATGTAATGGACAACTAGATGATGCTGCAATTTGGTTGACTCAAAATGCTGTTCCCAATCAGGATAGTCAAGTGAAGAATGATCTATTCTTTCATGTCATTGAAATAGAATCTTCTTGTTTAAGAATATGCATCATTGATGATTGTAGAGATGCTGATGTTCCTCTGATGGAATTACTTCTTTTAGATTTTTCTTTAAATCAAGTACCAAGTGGACCTGGATGTTTAAAAGCTACATTTGCTATTGATTATTATAATAGAGTGCTAAGTGGTTGGGAGCCATTTTTAGAATCATGGAAAGCAATAGTTCAATGGGAATATAATTCTGGAAATCTGGCGAATTCAAAGCAACTTCAAATTCAAATTGATGCTGAAGATTCTGTTAATATAAATATCACATCCACATTTGTAGAACTTGTGAAATTGGTTAAAGATAATTGGACTCAAGATTATTATTTCTCTAATAATAAAGATACTTCTGTAGTTAAAACATCATCAAGTCTTCAAAGCTATCGAAGACGATCTCCTTTTGTTCCATTTGCATTAAAAAATGATACAGGTTCTAAATTATGGTTTAAAACTTTCATCGCCGTTGCTGATGATATACATCAATCAAATTATCAATTCAACGTGGATGATTTTGTCAAAAGAGATGAAACTTGGTGTGAAGTATCACCTGGAGATACAATCCCTTTTACTTTTGAAGAAAGAGGGAAACTTAGACATCAGTCAACTCATGCAGTAAGAAGACACCAAGTGGCTGTTCTTGTAGAAGGATGGCGACCAGTGGATCCAGTAACAGTTGATAGAGTTGGAGTTTATTTTCGCTATGCTAATTCTGCTGTAAAACACTTTGATAGTATCGTTACTAAAGCACGAATAGTTTTTGCTGTTGAACTTGAAGGATCTGCTAGGAAGTTGGTGACTGTTCGATCAGCTCTTCAAGTTGTTAATAAACTAGCCTATCCTGTGGATATAAAAATGGAAAAATCTTTAACCCAGTTTGGATACTTCCCGATCGGGTCTATTGGCAATATTAGTGGTATAAAAACTTTGCAAATTCCTGCTCAATCTAGTATATCTATACCACTGACACACACTGGTGTTCAAATGAGCTTAAAACCGCAGCATCCAAACTATGCTTATCAATATTGCCTTGAACCTATAGACTGGACGCTTATTAAAAAGCCTTTGGAAGTTTCAGAAATTATTACGACATGCAGAACTAATCAGAATAATATTTTTAAAATGTGTGTTGCTGTTCGACGTGACAATTATCCGATTGATATTGGAAATTATGTTCTACCAGCACATACTATTACTATCTTGCCACCAGTAACGCTGAATAATCTTCTGCCTCATGAATTACTTTACCAAGTAGGCACTGAAAAAGGTAGAATCCCTCCAGGAAATAATGCTGATATTTATGAAATCAATGTTCATGAAGAGCAATTAGAAATTTCTTTCCAACTTGATGGCTATCCTGGGTCTGGAACTTTATTGCTTTCTCAAATATCAGGGTCATTCCTTTCTCGAATGAAGTTGACAGATTCTCTGGGACGTATTTTATTTCTACAAGCTGCCGTGATAATTGAAAAAGGATCAGCTGTTCGTATAAATATTACTGCTCCTTATTGGATTATCAACAAAACTGGATTACCTCTTGTATTTAGACAAGAAGGAGTTATTTCTGAAGCTGCTGGACAATTTGAGGAACATGAAAAAGCCAGGATGGTTGCTCCACTTTTATTTTCATTCAGTGATGAAGAGGCAAGCAGAGCATTGTCTGTGAGAGTTGGAATTGAACTACATCCTAAAAGTATTTCTCAATGGTCTCAACCTTTTCATCTTCAACCTGGAGTTCAAGTTCATCGATTGAGAGTCACCTTGCGCGATGGAAGGCCTGATATTGTCTACTTAATTGGAGTCGCTACGAGAACAGCACGAGGAAGATACCAAGCAACCACTGTCGTTACTTTATCACCACGTTATCAACTTCATAATCGATCTTCATGTACATTAGAACTAGCTCAAAGATGTTTTACAACGACTGTTAGCAATCCTGATGCTCAAGCAACATATATTACAGCAATGCCTGATTGTCATATGCCATTTCATTGGCCTCGTTTGGATAAAGATCAATTACTCTGTGTCAGAATCATTGATGTACCTCATTGCGTGTGGTCTGGAGGAATAATTATCGATGGCAATCATTCTTTAACAATAAACATCAGAGATAACGCTGGAAAAATGCATTTTCTTCGAGTTGATGTTGTTCTTCAAGAAAGTACGTTCTTTATTGTCTTCACTGATGCTAATACAATGCCTCCACCCATTAGAGTTGATAATTTTTCAGAAGTTTCACTTACTATTAATCAAGTAAGTAATTTTTATTCAATTCAATTTAATGTCTGGTTTATATTAAATCAAATAATAATGAAATAAATTTTTATTACAGACTGATGTACCTGATAATCTTCAGTGGACTGTAAGACCACATTTATCAGTTCCTTATGCTCTTGATGAACCCACACAAAGTGCCAATCTCACTGTAACAGCTCCAGGTGGAGTTACAGCAATATACGACTTAAATGTGCTAGGAGAAAATCGTGGACTTACTTATGAAAATTTTATTTATATAGCGTTTACAGGTTTGTTTTATTAAGTATTGGAAATATAGTAATTATAAAGACACTATATATAAATATTGTTAATAAATATTTGTTAAATTTTAGGAACATTTAAAGTAGACGGTGATCTAGGTACAGGAGAAGGAAGATTAGATCCTTTGGATGTTGAAACACAGAGATTAGTACTTGAAGCTGGTCCTGGTGGTTGGGTAGCTCTGAGAAGACAGCAATATGGAGCAAGATCACAACTTTGGAGAATGACTGGAGATGGGCAACTTCAACATGAAGGTATTGGATAGATTTTATTGATTAATTATCATCATTTCTTTACTATTTATTATTAAATCAATAACTTGGTGTTATTTAGGATCAAGTCCACCTCGAGATAAGCATTCAAAAACTTCAGACCCAGTTTTCGTTCTCGATATTGCTGGTCCTGCACCACAGCCCTTCAATTATTGTGCTCTAGCACTAAGAAGACCCGATCCTCGACGACGATCAACACAGACTTGGAAATTTACTGACGATGGAAGACTTTGCTGCGCTCACAAAAATATGTGTGTCCAATCAAAAGATGGTTTTATGGGCTTATATGAAGGTAATATTTTTTGTGTAAATTTTTATTTGGTATCCTCTTGATAAAAGTATAATTGTCAGTCGTATTTGAGCTTCATTGCTTGAGAAAGACATTTAAATTCATTACATTAAACAAAAGTATTTAGACCATATTTTATTTATTTTATATTAATCGTGTGTTATTGTTTATTTTAATGCAAAATTTTTACAATAACTTTATTGATAATAGAATAAAACATAAACTGATCATACATGTTGCAGGCGGCAGTGTCGCCCGTTGGCAAATGTGTACGTATAGATTTCGGAATAAGCTTTTAGCGTTTTTATTTTTTTTTTCTACAAACATTATTTAAAATAAATCAAACTTAATAATATTTTAACAATTCGACCATTATTTCACATCATTGCTTGCTGCAAAAATTTATTTATAAGAATACACTGTATAAATCAACACAATTGAATAAAGTCAATAATTAAAATGTTGAAAATTTTTAAATGATATCATTTTTTTCAATAGGGAGTGAAGCAGTTCTTGGACCTCAAACTCATAGTAATCCACCTCCAATTGAACAATGTGTTGGTAGACAAAGGTTACGACCAGGATCTGGATTCTTATCAGTCACTGTTACTACTGATGGTCCGACAAGAGTTCTACAAATTTTAGATATAAAAGAAAGGGTAAAATGAATGAATAAAAATCTTACATAGTTATGATAACTTTCTGTAGTATTATTAAATCAATTTTTTGCTTTTACAGAAAAAGACATTTGCAGCACTTGAAGAACGTGATTGGTCTCATATTGCAGTTACCCAAAGACCTTCTCAACTGGATGCTAATGAAAGAAAAGCAGCTTCTTCTGAGCTGAAATTAACAGTTAGTTTACCAGCAGGTTTAGGATTATCAGTAGTTTCACGTCAACCAGTAGAAGAATTACTTTTTGCAAGATTTGCTGGTATAGCTTTCGATTTTCTAAAAACTCCAATAAATTCAGTGCTAAATCTAAGTGTTGCTGACATACAAATAGACAATCAACTGCTTGAAGCTCAATGTACATCCGTACTATATATAACACCATTTTCAAAGCCGGAAAATGCTGATAGACCAGCCATAGAAGTATCAACTGAAAAACATCCTTCAAAAAATCAGAATGCTGAAATTTATAAACATTTAATTATTGGCATCCGACCTTTGTGTGTTCATTTAGAAGAAAGATTAATTTTAAAATTGGCAGCTTTTGTAGGAACTAGTCATACTGATTCAGAAGCTCCAATTGATGAAAATGACTTCAAAGCTCAACGATTCATATCCGAAGTATCAGCGGCTCATGCGAAACGATATTATTTTGAAATATTAAAACTTGTGCCAAGTCAAGTAAAATTGAGTGTTTTAACAACGACAAAATTACCTCGTCATCTTCAATCTATTAAACGGAAACTAGGACTTACACTGATAAAATTTGAAGGTGCTTCAATAGAATTAGAGCCATTTATTAAACGACATCCTTTTGAAAGTAGCCAATTTCTTATTCATTCAATTATAAAACATTATAAAGATGAATTGAAATGGCAAGCAGCAGTAATATTAGGCTCTGTAGATTTTTTGGGTAATCCACTAGGTTTTGTAAATGATGTTTCTGAAGGAATGTCTGGATTACTTGAGGGAAATGTCAAAACTTTAATTAAAAATGTAACTCATGGATTATCTAACTCTGCAGCAAAACTATCTGAGTCTTTATCAGATGGACTTGGAAGAGTAACAATGGATGAAAGTCATGAAGAAGCAAGACAAAGGATTCGTACTAATACAGTTCACAGTGGAGATCACATCGTTGCAGGCTTGAAAGGCCTTGGTTTTGGAGTTCTTGGTGGTTTAACTAGTGTAGTGAAACAAACTTATGATGGAGCAACTAATGAAGGATTTCCTGGTTTTTTCACTGGTTTTGGTAAAGGAATAGTCGGGACATTTACAAAACCAGTTGTAGGAATGTTGGACTTTGCCACAGAAGCAGCTACAGCTTTGAGAGAATCAAGTAGAAGTTCTCATAGGACTATTCCAAAGAGGCAAAGACCTCCTAGAGTTGCTAGTGGTCCAGCGGGACTTTTACCTCCATATAATCATCAGCAAGCAGAAGGACAAGAATTCTTGTATAATATTAATGAACACAATTATTCAGAATTGTTCGTAGCTTTTGAAAGCCTTTGTAGGGGAGCTGAAAACCTTCAAATGCTTGTTTCAAATGAAAAAGTTCGTGTTATTAACGGAAGTACAAAGACTGTAGTTACAGAAGTTAATTTGGCTGATTTAGTACAATGTAAACCAATAGAAAAAATCGAAAATAATAACACAACATCACATTATATTGAAATAGCATCAAGAATTGATTCATCAGTTACTCTTAATATTGATGGTCCTGAAAAATTGCGACGTCCAAAAGTACGATGTGATAATGAAGAAATAGCCAAATGGGTATCACAACAAATTATTTATGCTAAAGGAATGCATGAAGAGCGAAATTTAACTTTAATGTCGTCTGATAATATGTTAGATGACATTCATTACTACAAATAAATACAAATAGTAATATAAATTAGAACAATAGTGTGAAAGATTATTAATACTCGACATCTTAATTGCTTTTTGTACTGGTTTTTCATATAACTATCAATATAATCAAATAATTAAATTATTTATGTATAAAAATTGGCTGTGAAACAATAGGGTATTCCAAAATTATTTAATTTGATTTTTTTTTGATAAAATACACACGGAACTATGTGTGGCCATTAAAATTAAAGCATTCTGGAATAATAATTTTAAAAAATCGTACTATTCGTACTTTTCAAACAATTGTATTTACTTAATGTACTTTTACATCAAACAGAACATTTTATTTATTATATTTTTGTGGTTATAAATCAATGATGTAATTGATTTTGTTAAATAAGAAAAAAAATTATTCCAGGTATAAAGTTCTAATTCTAAATATTGAAAGATACTTATTTATAAACGGTTAGTGAAAGAAAATAACACTTTTGTATTTAACATGACAATATGATAATTTTGTTTATGTATGCCAAAAATTTATTGTTACCTTTTGTTTTATATAGTTTAATTTTATTTATAAAAAATGTAATTTATGTAATATAATTAACTTATCTACTTTCTTTATATTGAATGTCTTTAAATTATTGTATATAATATCAGAGATATTTTATGAAAATAAAAACCTTCACTGCACAATTTTTGTTATTATTCATTTTCCTATGTCTGAATAGGTTATATGTCAATGTATCGTAAGAAAAAATATTTGACGATAAAACGATTAAAAACAAAAATATTACACGATTGGCATAAAATTTGTAAACATCTTTTTAATTCTAAATATTTACAAAATAAAAAGGAAAATTTGAAATACATTCAAGGTTACAATCAAAGATCGCGCCGAATGGCGTTGGTTTTGTATCAAAATACTTACCATTTTCATTACGTCTATGGAAAAACGTATTAGATTAGTTCATTAGATAAGAGAAAGAGAGAGGGGGCTTTCTATGTTATTTATTTTTTTGAAGGCCATATTTGATGATCTGAAAACAAATATTAAACTCCAATATCGGCCTCATATGTATTTAAATCATCATAATAAATGTTATTTTTGTACGCGTGTACAAATCTTAAAAGGTTTCACTCATGGTTGAACTTCTTTCTATTGGCTTATCTATTGTTAAAGCATACGAGCGTACTAGTGGAAATTGATTTTTAATAACAGTTAATCAAAAAAATAATCTAATGTTGGACCATAATCAACTGGATGAAATTCCTACGATGAATTTCGAGGCTGCTACGTTAAGAATGTCAAAAGAAGTCACCGATACTGGTATTTATTCAAACTAAATATTTATTTATATATTAAACATAATTAATTTTTTATTCATTATGTTTATTTGTTGGTTAATGAAATTACAGAGACTAAAGATGACATTTACTCACAAGAAAATAATAATAACGCAGCCACGGCAAAAACAAATATTTTGAGTATTCCCTTTAAACATATTGATGTACACACATTTTTTTCTGATAGAAATGAAGTTGTAGAACGTGCAATTAAAGAATGTCAAGAGACACTGTCAACTGATCAGAACGACGAAATTGTTGGAACTTGGTTATTAACAGAGTAAATAATTAAATTTTTATTTATAATGAAGCTTACTAGGAGAATGGGTTTATCATATTTCTAATTTTTTTGTTTACAGAATAAGTTTATGGGATACTGAAAAAGAACGAATGGTGTTATTGACCAAGAATGCTTTGTTTTCAATTAAATATGATTTTATTTCATTAAAAATTCGTGAATTCCATCGAGTCCCATTGGCAGAAATTGACAAAATTGCTTATGGAGAATTGGAGTACCCAGCAAAATCTGTTGTACCGTAAGTAATTTTTATTATTAATTATTATTTATTTTTATTTGAAGTAATTTTTATTTCAATAATACTTGACAATTGATATATTGAATTTTTTACAGACGTTTGAATGGCTTTGCTGAAGGTTTATCATCAGCAATCCATTGTGCAGTTCGTCAGCAATGGTCTTCCATAACTTCACGATCTGAAATTAATTTTGAGCCTAAGTATTGATTAAAATTTATTTAATTAATTTGATTGTAAATATTCATTTCAAGTTTTCCTAATTATAAAATAAATTTTCCACAGAAAACGGAACATGTTTGGTGTTAGATTAATGTGGAATAAAGGAAAACCGCTAAGTTTCGATAAGAAATGGAATCCATTTGCCAAACATCTTCCTATGGTAACTTATGCTAGCCATCCTTTATATTGGCATAAAGGTAATAAATATTAAATTATTAATTAACTCCATTTTAAAGAGATTCAAATCAATAACTATATTTTATTTATTTTCAGACTCTAATGATGAAAAGACACGTTTTGATGTTGATGATTTTTACGCAGTATTAAAGAATCTCTTAATTGATCGATGTGAATTTATTAGTACTCCTCTAATTGTTGAAAATTATGTAGGATTAGGTGCATTATTACACAACCGAAATTCTCTAGGATTCTTTAAAGTTCGTGGCAGAGTTAGTTTTTAAGAAAACTGTTGAATTATGGGTTTTGAATGATCTGCATATCGATCTGATGAATTTTACTCTATTGATAAACGAAAAAAAAAAACATAATATATTCGTTTGAAAATGTGTTGTAACTATTATGAAGTATTTATAAATTGATATTATATTCAAAAAACATATTTATTTGAAAATTTTATTAATAAAAATAATTATTGGCAATGTGAAATATAATAAATTAATTTAATAATCATTATATGATACATTATATTTTACAAAATTTTATTTTAATCGTAGAAAAAACGTAGCTTACTATCATGTAGAAAAATATTGATCGTTAGGCCTCGTGAAATGTACATTTTACTAATATTATAGCTGTATCTGTAGTTGTTAATTATCGATTTATTACACAAAGCACTGAAAAGTTCTCGCATTTTTTGGCATTCAAAAGCTGTTTTTATTCTAAATAATATATTATTGAAATATGTGTCAAGTGAATATTAAGAATTATTAAAATAAACTACGATACAAATACAATGAAAATCATGAAAATGAAATTGTTTAATCGTTTAACCAATGCCTTAGGCCTTCGGAAAAAAGAAGTTAATATATTAGTTGTGGGTCTCAATAACAGTGGTAAGTCAACGGTCATTAATCATTTTAAACGCGAGGACGACCGTTGCATAGACATAGTGCCTACAGTCGGGTTTAATGTGGAAAAATTTTCATGTAAGTTTTGCGATCATGGGTCAACATCTTAATATGACAGTATTTTACATTTAATTTCATCATCACTATATGAATGTTTTATCTACAAATGTTTTTTTTAATATTCGAATATATCACTTTTTTCTTGGACTTCTTCGGAGACGTATACCTTTCGCCTCAGCTGTGTCAATAGATTCAGAAACTATTGGACTCAAATTCAAAGTCAGTTGTTTCGTTCTTTTTATTTTTCCAACCATAGGAGTACTGGTATACGTCGTTTTTTTATTCAAAACAGAATTTTCTTTTGCTTGTGATTTTTTCATAATTGGAATTTTAGAAGTTTTAAGATTCAATTTAGCTTGTTGCGATCGTGTACTAATAGTCGAAATATTTGCCTGTTTCTCAGGAGATTTTGTTGTTATGCTTTTTTTTGTCTCTTGTTTTGCCTGTTTTTGAGTATTTTCTCCCTGAGACTTTTGAAGATGATTTTCTACAACATTTACAGGCTCAGAAAATTCTACATTTTTAGCCTCATTGCTTTTACTAGAAATATTTCTTGTATTCTTAGTCTTCAGGTTGACTTTAGGTTGAATCATCTTTGATGATGGTTTCTCTTTAGTAACTTTTAATTTTTTCACTCTTGGACGAGCTACTGATTTTTTCTTAGGCACAGTTTTAATAACTGGTTCATTTTCTACATGCTCTGAATCATCACTACTCTTCTCCAAATTCACAGAATCAACACTTATTTTTTCCACTGGTTTCGTGTGCTGATTTCGACCCCGCTTTCTCTTTTTTGCACTGTATTTGAAATCGCTGTCACTCTCTGAATCTTCATTGTTTTCTAAAGCTGTCTTGTTACTCTTGAAAAAAATTTAATTAATTACCATACAAGAAATCTCTTCAAACTGAACAAAACAATACATTTCTATAACATACCTCTAATACTTGGTCTTCTTCTGTAGTAATTTCTGGTTCCCATTTAAAAATGGGATGTGATTGATTTATAATGGAATTATAAGCATCTTGCAACATATCTTTTTTAAGTTTTTTTGAATAGTTACGAAAATGCAGAGATAATTCCTCAGATGGTGAATTAATTTTTAAAGTGTGAGGTCTTACTGTTCCAGAATTATAAAATAAATTAACAGTAAAGTTCATCTTTTGATTTGTTTGCTTGTTCGTTACTTGATTGAAAATGATTACAATTGTTAAGTACCCGAAATTTGATGTAATTTGACAGTTTTTTGTTGTTGCAAGACATTGCTGAAATGAGTCATGAGTTATAAAATTTTTGAAATTGGAACAAACTTATGAAACTCACCTTAAGTTGATCAAATTGTTGCTTTCGTTGCTCATGACATAAAACATGTCTTTTACAGTTCCTTAAGAATGGGATAACATGAATTGGCTGTTCCAATGGTGTTTCTGCTAAAATATAATCAATTGTAATACCAATCGGCATCACCCAATGTCCTAACGTAACTTTGTCATCTTCAACAAAAAACTGAACTGCAGAACTGTTTCCGTCATTTGATGAAGCAGATACATTGAAGACAAATTCATTATTTAGCGATTTTGTACAATAAAGTCCTGCTAATTTGTACAATTCATACTCCATATTAACATTTGAGAGGATTCTTTTTGAAGATAATGATGTTGGGAAGTCAGAATTGAAACTAATCAATTCATTTTTATTTTTAATTTGAACATCGCCGTATTTTACGGAATTTAATGTGAGTTCAGCTTCATTAACAAATTGCTTTAGTTCGTTGATTTGCTCCAGTAATGCTTTTTTTTCTTCTTCATATTTTTTCTCTGTGAGAAAAATTATTATTATAAATAATTTAACTTAATAAGATGTTTTACATTATCATACTTTCGTTCTCGATTGTTGAATCTTCTTGATTATTGTGGGCTTGAGTATTGTTAGACTCACTTTCATTCTCCATTTGTGCTGAAAATAAATTAAAAAATATTTGTCATCTACAGCTTATCATAAAAAAATAATTTTAATATATTTTTAAATGTTATTTAATACTACAAAATGTAATGTACTCTTTCAATCATTTGAAAATCGTTTTGCTTTTTTATTACAGTTAAAAATGTTCACTTTACTGCATTTGACATGTCAGGACATGATCGCTACCGATCTCTATGGGAACACTATTACAAAGATTGTCAAGGAATTATTTTTATAATTGATAGTAGTGATAATTTACGTTTAGTAGTTGTAAAAGAAGAATTAGATATGCTTCTTCAGCATCCTGATATAGCAAGTATGCTGATAAAGAAAAAATTAGTTTTCCTTAAATAGTGTTATAGGTTATATATACTTGAAATAATTTTACTCTACCTATTAAATTTGCATTTAATCCTCTATCGACAGGTAGAAAAATTCCAATGTTATTTTTGGCAAATAAAATGGACCTGCCGGATTCTTTAACAACAGTAAAACTTGTTGCTGCACTTGGACTGGATAGAATTCACAACAAACCGTGGCACATTCGAGCAACAAATGCCGTTACTGGAGAAGGATTGCAACCAGCCATTGAATGGCTTACTGATCAAATTCGCGATATTTTTATCAATAAAAAAAGATAATATTGTTAATTATACAGAAACTTAGAGAATTTTAGGTACAATTATTTATACTGAATATAGGTTATATTTTTATTTACACTTTTAAATCTGAAGTTTTCATTGTTTACTTGAAAGAGGGCGCTCAATACGTATTGTAGTGTTTAATCCTATCACTAGGCGGCTGAAAGTTTTTTTGTATGTTGTTAAAAATATTAATAATAATTTTGTAATGTTAATTGTGAATAAATCAGTTTAATCAATATAATATAAAATTATCAATTAATAAACATTCCATTTAGAATAATTTTTTTTATGTAGTTTATTGTTACGATATACATTTGGAAGAATTTAAATTTCCAGTGATTCATTGACGTCATTCCTTGGAATCCTACGCGTTTGTTATCATATTGATCACGTCATTCGAGTGGCAAGTGACAGGTGGATACAATTAAAAACATTCCAAATTGTTATAATGAAAGAAAAACAGTATTATTTTATATTTTTCATAATTGTTCTATTTAATATTAAAAATGCTAGTTGTTACAGTATTGATAAATATTTAATTTCTATGCCAAATGTTAAACCGAACATTGTAAGTATTAAAGTAAAGTAATATTTAACCAGCAGTTTGTAATTAATTTTATTATTTTTTCAGCCTGAATTATATTTATGTACTCCAGTTAAATTAAATACCACTAATACATATTATATTATTGAATTTGAACCAAAAGCATCGATGAATGTTGCTCATCACATACTCCTTTATGGCTGTAAAACACCTGGATCAGCAAAACCTGTTTGGAATTGTGGAGAAATGAGTAAATCGGCTGATGATGATGATGATACAGCAAGTCCTTGTTCAGATGGATCAGAAATTTTGTACGCATGGGCTCGAGATGCTCCAAAATTAGTCCTACCAGATGGTGTAGGTTTCAAGATTGGTCAAAAGTCTCCAATTAAATATCTAGTTCTTCAAGTTCACTACGCACACGTTGAACATTTTCAACATGGTGAAACCGATAATTCTGGAATTTTATTGCATTATACTCAAAAACCTATGAATAAACTTGCTGGAGTCTATTTATTGGGAACTATGGGCCGGATTCCACCACGATCTACAGAATACATGGAAACAGCTTGTGAAATTAAAGAAAACAAAACATTACACCCGTTTGCATATAGAACACATACTCATTCATTAGGAAAGGTTGTCTCCGGATATTTGGTTACTCCCGATTATAAATGGATTGAACTTGGAAAAAGAAATCCATTAACTCCTCAAATGTTTTATCCGGTTCACAATAATGTAACTATCACAGAAGGTGATACTGTAGCTGCTAGATGCACAATGTACAGCACTAGAGATACTTGGACGTCAATTGGACCAACAAATAACGATGAAATGTGTAATTTTTATTTGATGTATTATGTTGAAAATGATGAACCACTCGAAATGAAATATTGCTTCACAAGAGGACCTCCTAACTTCTATTGGCATCTAAGTCGTCTTCAAAATATACCTAATCGAGAAGCGTCTACTTTGTAGATAATCATGTTTTAAATGAATTTATTTATTTATTTAATTGAACTAAATTAATTATCAATTGAAAAACTTTTGTTTAAAAGGAGAAAAATATATCATATAACGGAATTGACGCATTTTGAAGTAAAGTCGAAGCACAAAGTTTGTTTATTTATTTATTAATGCCAAGGCAAAAGTCAATTGGCAAGAGGAATATACAAATATATATGACAAATAATAATAGGGAAAAATTGTAACAAGATACCACCCTAATTTTAACAATGTTAAAAAGATCATAGCAATAACTAGAGATCGATATTATGATAAAAGCTATGAGCACAAGTAGAAACACAAAGTTGTGTATTCAAACATAAAAAGCAATAAAAAAATAAAAATGTATTTATCTCCTTTTAAGCAAAAGCTCAATTGAGTATTTAAAATATGAATTATTGAATATTTATGCGCAAATCAATATACTTAATACTAAATGTGATCATTATTTTTAAAAATATTTATATTTTACGAATTAAATTTAATTGACATCCATACATACGAATTATACTTTTGAGAGATAAAAAATTATTTTTAATTTTATGAGTGTAGTGTTTTGCAATTAGTGACGAAATACTATTTTTTCTCAGAAACAATTTACTTAAAATTGATTCAATGTGTGATTAAACTCGTTATATTATTTATTTTTTTACGATATTTTTTAAATATTTTTTTTTCTCTTGTTGTGTTATTACTCTACAATTTTTAATTTAAGTTCTTCCATAAAACTCAAATGGCGCTAATTATTGTTAATAATTACTCCAAATTAGTTTTAATATTTTTCTGACTATCGAATCTCATATCTATCACTTGATGTGGTACTGAATAATTCCTATTTCTTAAATAATTATATTGCAAATAATATTTATATATAAATATAAATATATATACGTATGTGTGTATGTTTACATTAAATATATCATACTGTATGTGGATAAAAAGTGTGTAAACAAAAAGTGCGGGTCAATATTTTTTGTCTTAATATATACAAGAAATTGTATTTTTCTCTGCTATCAAAATAAAAATATTGTATATTAAATTGACAAGAAACATGTTTGAATAAGTTGAAATAGACATGCGTACGTTCTATCATCATCTATTGATTATTTCATTGATAAATAATTCTTATCCAACAATCTAAAATAGTAATAAAGATGATGATGATGATGATTAATTCGGAAGTTGGCAAGAAGACTTGTATATATCTTTTCTGCGATCACGACCCACTTGTCACGATGTCAATCGATGGAATGTTGGTATTTGAAATTTCCTGGTCTAGTCTTCTTCGATCACAGCAACAGCAGAGTACCACGAATGAAATTGAGAGAAAACCGGTTAAACCTGTCGGTGTCTTTGGTCATTCGTTAACGAAGATTATCAGAAAGAACTCACATGTAAATCCATCGTCATTCATATCTGCGAGAAGCTTAACGGAATACGCGTAGCAAATTACTCACCATCTCCTTTAAACAAACAGAAAGGAAAAAAAAAGGATAAGTATTAGTTAGTAGTAGAAAAAGCATAGAAAGCGTAAGCCGATTGGAAATAGAAATAATATTTATTAGTATATAAATAATATATTTAGCGGTTTAATTAGCTATGATTGGATTGACAGAGGTATACTATCACCGACGAAAGTAAAATTGGGTTGTGAAGCAAGTGATGAAGTGAACGTCACTCATTAGTCGCGTAATCCCATACGACTTTTGATGTGTTATTCGTTTCTCTTTCATCTGATTTATTAATTTATGATATTATTCATTTCCTTAATTATTATTATTCAATATTCAACTAAGAAAACAAGTCTTGTTTAATAAATAATTCAATGCTACGATCAATCAAATAGGTTTCATAGTGTAAAGAATGTCTTCTGTCCAGGAAAACGATAAACAACCAGACAACTCGAAAGTGAGACCTCGATCACGTTCACGGCCAACTCTCCCAGAGTTAGAGACTTGGCCTAAAACTCATTAAATATATTTAATACAATAAATAAATATGATTCTGAATAAATTAGTTGATGATTAATAAAGTATTCTTCACAAGCTAAAGCACTTATAATGAAATAATTCAAGTTCATCCCTCTGAAACAAGATCTTCTTAGTTGGTAAGTAGTCTAGGCAGTTGAAATATAAGCGTGAAATCTTCTAATCAGTTCTTGGTCTTTAGTATGTAAGAAGATACTGATGAATGGAAAAAAAAGTGCATTGAAGTGAAGGATGTACACGTGGGGCGAAGGAAAGTCGCGATTGGTTAAACCAACTGGATATCCGATCACCAGAGCAAGAAGACTCCAACCAAACTACCATCCACTAAGAAGAAGGTAGAATTGCCGGCCGGCCGGCAGTCAGTCAACCGTTCAGTTCTCTCCAGCACTTTGAGCTCTACGCAACATTTGCCAACTGATCAACTCGCGCTTGATAAAAACTATCAATCCATTTATTCACTTATAATTATTATTCATTAGCTATTAAATTTCTTTATTTTATACTTATCCAATGCAGACATGATTCTGCACGAAATATCAAGTCGAACTGTTTTTCAATGATTGATTGTTGATTATTGTGAGTTATCATTTTTCAAGTATCAGGAATTCAACAACATTGTATGGTTTAATTTACAGGTTAGTTTGAATTTTAACTCACTTATTAATAGACTAGTTTCATTATTTAATCATAATTTTAGGTGAAAGAGAATATTATTCATTGTTTTGCCATGACAATTGTGCTGATCCGGTTCTTGAATGTTTATTTTTCGGACTAGCAAACGATAGTGAAACTCCACTTCTCTCTCGCTTTCAATTTATTTTATTGTATCCGTTACTATCAATCACAGTTATTCATTATTAAATGGAGAATGAATTTTTAAAAAAAAAAATGGATATTTTGCCATCAATCAAAGTGTCTTGATCATGATTAAAAATCGTTTGGATTCTTGTCACGCTTGACACAACTGGTGATTTTTTTCGCGTTTCAAGATTGTCCCACGAAATTTGATGGTAGTGAAGAGGGCGAACAGGCAGTTTGTCTTGCATACGTAATGTTTTTTAACTAATATATAGGTCGCAAATATCGGGGCATACTTAACTTCTTAAGAACCGAACATGAACCAAATAGGATAATGGAGTTTTGAAGGGGGAACAAAAATGCACACAAGTGTTTGTTGCATTTTTTTTGTTTAACTATTGAATTTCAAAGTTTACAAGTTTTGTGAAAAATTTTCAAACTGTTAAATTTAAATAAAAAACAAGATAAAGGGCAAATTTATGTCCCCACAGTCTTGAGGCTGGGTTGAATTGGGGTATAATATCACCTCACATTTTTTTCCACAGAAAATAATTTATTTATTGGTTCTTTTCAAATTAAGAATAATTATAAATGATCTAAAAAATGGTATAAAGGGTTATATACAGTTTTGTAAAAAAAACGCAGTGATAAAATTATAAGAATGATTTTAAAATGAATGGCTGATGAAAACTGGGTTCGCCATGACACTTGGTGAAAAATGACTGTTTTATGTTTTTTATTTATTTTAATTGTTACAAACTTATTTTAAAAAAAAAAAAAAAACGCGTGTGCAACCCTAGAAAAATGTCTCGCCTTTTTACTAAGATTTAAATCGTTAAAAAGTATTTATTTTTGACAGAGTAATCTGTGGAAAAAAATTTTCTTTTAAGAGGTTAAATTTCGTCGGCTCAGAGTGTACCCCTGCTACATTAATCTTTAGAACCCATTCTCCTAGTTGGACTCATTAAGTAAAGACTATCATCATTGTTCTATCCTTTTTAAAACAAATTTTTCGGTTTAAATTAAATATATTTCAATAAATATTCAATGGCGGTAGGGAGATTTGCACTTTAGCCGACAATTTGTGACATTCGTTTTTGGATTGACATGATTCTTGTTACCATGTAGTTGATGATTATATTAATTTACTCATAAAGTACGTAAGAATGTGGATGAATATGTCGAGTGAGAGAGTTAGACAAGTCGCGAAACTTGGGGCCACGCTGTCTCGAGTCTCTCAAGGATGAAACACGATATAAACTTTCAGGCTCGTGCTCGAAGCAGCTTCTACCCAATAATTATTTGCCCATTTTTTTTCTCTCGCTTTTCCTTGACTTTTAATGCAGTATTTCAGTGATTCACTACATGATATGTGAGCAATTTAATTTTTTCTCAGACCACCTGAACTGAATGGGAACAAGAAATTTCTGGGAAATCGAATTTTTAATATTATATATGAAAAGAGAGAAATAACTATTTACATCCTGATAAAAAAATTGAAGGGACTTAAATTCCCATTACTCAATGGCATTGGATATTTAGTGAAAGTGGTCCATGATTTTTGAGTGTGGGAATATGATGCTTGGACACAGTTCGTGCCAATTACTTGGTCATACAGCTCGTTGATCTTGATTTTCCGTGGGTCTGAAGTTGAAGGCGGCTTGATTCAAAGTAAATTTATATATCTTTCTTTTTTCTGCATGCAATACATTATACATATGGGGGCTGAGAACGCGTTCGGAAGAGAAGATCGATGCCCGCAGCATCGTCTACCGTTACCACGTGCTCAGTTCTCATCATAAGCGCACCGATTCAATGGACTTGTTTTCATCATCATGCCATGTACGGCACAATTTTACATAAATCATTTTTCTCAACTCTTTGAATCAGTTAATAATTAATACAATTTTTGGTAACCAACATAAATTGGTATCTACTTTTAATTATTATTATTCATTTAATGCAATAAGTTAGCATCATAGATTAAGATCGTGAACTTGAGGTGAAACCGTGTGACTTAGTAGTAGAGTTACTGTTAAAGACTTTCTCGCGGAAGCCGTTTAGGTTGTCGGAAATTTAGCGTTCGGTCCTAGGAAACTCGTTTAGCATCGTGAAAGTATAGCTGGCAAGGTCATCAGGGCTAATCGGGAAATGCTGTGACACTTTTTTCACAGTCGAAAATAAGTTAAATCATTTACCCATCAATTTTGAACTTTCAATGTTACAGATATCGTGGAGAACGATGTATTCAGTAAGATGGTTCTTGCTTTTACTTTTCAACATTAGCCAAAGTTTTTCAGCATCGTTTGAACTCAAAGCAGGTAAGCTTTTATTATTTATCTAGATAAGAATATTTCTCTATAGGAAAATGAAAATGGAAAAAAAGTATGGCCTAAAGAGCTGAGTGGAGAGTAGGCACACACGTTTGTACACGCCGGGTCAGTAGGTCACACTCCACTTGGTGCTAAGAGCCCTGGCGTTCGTCGCACGTTCCCAGACTGTTACTAAATGCCTACACGTCGGGTCGCATGTACCAATGAATATGTCACGAGTTTACAATAAGTTTTGCTAGTCACGTCATCATTCTAATGCTAATACCACTAGACTTTCCTGCTTGATTATTAGCAAAAACTAACACGTCAACATTATCTATTATTTCTCTTCTTAAACTTAATTATATTAAACCTACTAACTAAATTCTTCTTTCATTCTCATTAGGTCCCAATGACACCAGCAATAGATCACGAATCTTTTCTCCCAGGATGGATTATGATGAATGGACACCTTTGGGTCGTGGTGATCCTTTGAAGAATGATCCAACCTTTGATTATGTTCCACCAGTTTTAGATCGTGTTCAATATTGGTTAGATTCTCAATCAAGCACTGAAGCATCTTCTTCTAAACGTGACATCCTGGTTTTGGGTGTTACTGCGAAGAAGACAAGTCCTAAAATTCCTGAACATTTTTTTAAATTCATTGATGCTCCCAAGTTTAATAAAAATCAACATGAGTCCAGTAATTTTCGAAAAGACTTTACTGGTAGCACTGGAGCTGAGCCTCCAAAAATAGTTCGTGTGACCAAGTTCAGAGGCGGCAATTCAGCGAGCCCACTTGACCTTAGAAGCCAAAATAGAATTCAATCGATACCAGCAAGCTATTATGCAAGCCCTTATTACGGCGAAAAGATGAAACATTTTACTATGATGGTTCCACCTCCTATGATGAATCAGGCAATAAATCATCAGTTTGGTGGGCAAACTGAAGAAACGCCTATCTCTTTATTACGTCCTGAAATAAATCGAGAACATTCAAATTCACATCCTTTAATTTCTCAAGGGATTTCTAAAGATGTTGAACAGTCAACGACTTCTGTTACATTTGATAAATCGAATCTTGTCTATCAATCAACACAGACCTTTGATTCTTGGACAGCAGCTAATTCTAATCATAATCCATCTATTCTTTGGAACGAAAATAACCATAAATCTATAGAGCATGATGAAGATCATCAAATCGCAGGATCAGTTAATCATGAAGTTGTAGTGAGTCAGAATGCAAATATTATTGTCGATGAAAGCGAAGAAAATGAGCAAGTTGTTTTAGGAAAAAAAGAAACTATTTATACTCCTATATTTAATCATTCTGATTTAAATAACAATAATAAACAACTAGAAAGTGATGATGAAAAAATGCACATTGTTTTACCTAATATGCCTCCGGCAAATGATGAAGTGAATAATAAAACCATGGTAACAGTGATAATGCCAACTAATTATCCATCTTCTTCAAATCAATCAAAAACTTCAAATAGAAGTGAAGTTATTTCTACAACACCAGTTCCTTTGAATATTTCCATGCCAACTAGAATGCCTATTTGGAAACCACCTTCTAAAGCACCACCACAAGCTCTTTCGAAGAGACCTGGAATGCTGATGATACCTAATAACAACAATAATATTCATAGACCTGTACAAAAACCACCTCACGTACCTTCTAGTCCTCCTGAAATGATCATGATGCATTCAATGACTATGAACAGAATGCCAAGTGCTTCTATTCAACCAATGTTTCCATCACTTTCACCACCTTCCACTTCTTCAGTATTTTCACCACCAGCATCATTCCATCGTCCGGAAAATATGATCGACATGATTCGGCCGACCACAAGCGTACATTCACCACTAGCTATGCTTCTAGATGCTGAGAATATTGAGAAAATGACAACAGCTCACTCGTCAAGTATGAGACTAGATTTGCCGTCATCAACATCAGCACCACAAGCTTCCATAACTCCTTCAAGTATTAAAACAACGTCAGATCCTACCTTTCCTCATGTCAAACAATCATCAAAACCAAACTACAGCCCTATGTATCTTATAATTCAAGGCCACTCGAAAGTGAAAACTTACAAGCCTACAGTAAATAAGTATGGTGTACCAGTAGAAAATAATGCCATTGTCGAGACAACGACATCCCGTCCAATCTCAAAGTTTGAACAGTTTGTTAATGACAACACAAGGGTTGTTCCGACTGAGAAGACCATTACGAAGAATAATCATGAGGTGAAAGCTAAGGAGAAACGAGTTGGACATGACAGTTTACTAAGTTTTGTTGAGAGCGGTTTGAGTGCATTTACTGTACCATCATCATCATCATCATCATCATCATTACGATTAATGGACGAAGAATACAATAGATTTCATGACGACTTATCAGTTAAAAAACAATATGGAAAAATGAAATAAAATGATTTAAGTGATTTCGTGTATAGAGAGGCTCACATTTATAATATAGAATTAAGTTAATGATAATTTTCTTGGATGTGCCAGTGCCAGTATGAAATTTTTTCAATAGTAATTATTTTTATTATGAATTCGTATCATTAATTTTATGGCCCTGTAATTATATGTAACTCATTAACACTAGTCTTACAGATACGAGTTACCAAACATGTAGAATATGCTCTAATCTAAAAAATATTCTTTTTTAATTTGTTTTGTAAGCTTTAAATTTATGTGCCGTACTTATTGTTATTTTTTTTCTTAATTTTTATATAATTGTTTAAATATGTAATTATCATATTAATATTAACAGTTATTTGATACAAAAATCTAACTTTGTATATTGAATTAATTGTTAATTAATTTATTTTATTTATTTAAATATATATGTGCTAAAAAAAATTCAATTTATGTATATGAATGAAATGTGTTAATTGAATAATGAATTTTTGTACTTATTATTGTACCTAAATTTTTTTTTTCAGTATATATTGTTCGAAATGCTGTTGTTTAATAATAATTGTACCTGAATGGTAAATAAAAATTAAATAAAAAAATTTATGAATGCTAAAAAATGGATTATCATTATCTTCATCATAATTCAATTTATTGTTGAATAAATTTATTGGAAAAAATGTCGGTTAGCTACGTGATTCCATCAAGAACTTTCTTTTTTGTCGGGAAAGTACCTCTAGTCGATTGGACATTGATGACAACTATTCGGCACATCACCTTATGCATTGTTATCATCTTTTGCATACTGAATAATATCAATATACTCAATTCCGACTTTTATTCAAGCGATATTTTTATTTAAAGCACGTGTTTTTTCAATAAGGATACACCATTATAGAGAACTAAGAGTCAACTAGACTGGAATATTTTCTAGTCAAAGCGAAATTCAGTAGAACAAAAAAGTGAAGAAAACAACGTCCCTGGTGACACTGTCTTGACAATCTGGAACGTGGTTGGCATGTCTACGGGAAATGCAGACCTCATTGCACCACTGAGGAAACTAGAACGATAGAAAAACTAACCCAATAATCCAAGTCGTCATCGCCTACTCAGAATTTATCCACAACCGGAGTCTTGGGATACCTGGAAGTCTTGAGCATCCTTTCTATTTTCCTTGAATTATGACAACTGGCTATGTTACATCTGATTTATTTATTCTATCTAATATTTTTATATGATAATAATAAATGTCATTCACCAGCTAAGTGATCCTTATCACCAGATATCATCAAAGTTATCAATTGATATCGTCTCGAAGAATCATGTGATGTGGTGAAGACCCTAGAGTTTATTGATTGATATTGGGAATTCCTACATACAATCAACGTTATCAGAAAAAATTCTAAAGGAAGTATACTCTTGAATACATAAAAAAATTCTTAACATCATTGAACAATTAATACCTAGATGTTTTTAATTGGCTACTGAACTATGAATATTTTTATAATAACCATTTTTAAGATCTAAATTATTTTAAAGCATTAGAAATAAAAACAAAATAATTATATTGATTATAGTTTATTATGTATGTATATATATCTTATTTAAATATATATATCAACGTAACAATTACAAGACTTTATCAACTAATTATTGAAGAATTATTAATTATTGATTACACGAATGCTTGTGTATATATATGTTACTAAATGTAACGATAAAAATATATTTATATCACAGTCATAGATAAACAAATTACTCAACAATCATCAGCAAACTACTGTTACGAAGAGAAATTCGTTAATCTTAATATTCCTAATTCTCTACTATTATGTTCTATGAAATTCCTTTTTCTCTAAGTAAAGTTAATTATTTTTATAAATACGGATGGATGATTTGTGATAAATGTTTTTCAAACTTTGGCTAAACTAAGCCGAACAACTTTGAACATTATGACATTAAACATTATTATATTTTATTTTTATAATATTTGATAATTTCTTTGATTTTCTTCTTTTTTTTTTTTATTATTGACTTATTTTAAAAAATAGCTTTAATCTAGAACAAATTTTTTATCAAAATATAAATTAATAATACTTAAAACTTGTTAAATATTATTAGCAATATTAAAAAGTTTTTTCTTTTTTAATAATCATAAATAATTATAAAAAACATTGAGATTTTTCATTTAAAAAATGAATTTTTATAAAAGTTATTAAATGGTGTTTAAAATGTATTAACTTGTAAGAATTTGAATATTTAAATTGAAAAAGTTTTTCTAATAAAACATTGTCCATCGATAAAAGACATCAGTCTGTAGGATACTGTACTGTACTATCTCAAATATTATTTCAATGTGGATGCATTAAAAGAAGACTTAGATATATTAATTTTCTTATTAAGTAATAAATTTTAAATCTATTACATTGACACATCGCACCACATTAGAATTAATATGACGTTTATAATTGTTGTATAATATTTCAATTCTCATTTGTAATTTTTTATTTCATTTAAATCTACTGTAATTTGTTGGATGCAAGTCTAAATAAACTACGATAATAACTGTAAGAGAAACGATGATAATAACACCATTATAACGATTAAGCAAAAGATACAATGAATATAGAGATGATAATTATTCTAAACACTTGGTTCAAGTGAATTTTCTAGTTCATTTAGTGGAGGAACCAAGGTCTGGAGAGAAAAATATCGAGATCTATCAGTGACATCAACACTAGTGATATGTTGAAATTGACATGGCTGACTGATATTACTTTTTGATGGCAAAACAAATTTTTTCGGCGGTGGTTGTTTCTTCTTTTTCTTTTTTCCAGGTACTGAGAGACTAATATTTTCTGGGCATGACACTAGTTGTTCGATATGTTGCCAGAGATCATTCGCAGCTTTTGAGTTGTCAAAACTGAGTCCAGCTAAGCGAGAATGATCTGATGATAGACACATGGTATGGAAAGCAGGACCTGATACCTAATTCAAACAATAAATCCATTTTTATTCTACTAGAATTATTTATTTATTTATTTATTTGAATATATTTTTCATTTATTTACCTTGTAAGAAGAAAGATTATCAATTGTTTCTCGCCACAAAGTGAAACAGGTTCCTCTCTCAGCAAGAAGAATTTGAATTTGTCGTTTAGAACGAGATCTTGTCTCACCTAGATCTAAAACTACCACTGGAATCCCAGTAAATCTCAAGTCCCATCTTTCACCTTGAGTTGCACTGCCCAGGTATAAATTAGCAAGAGATTCACAGACGAAAACCTGAAGGAAAAAAAGAAACATTAGTCACATATTAAAATTTTAAAAGACATTAATTTGTCATACTTGGTATCCTTAATACATAAAATAGGTTGTTTGAATAGCATTTGAAATTTAAAACAAGTGACATTTGACAAAATTTAGAAAACGAGATAAAAAAAAATACCTGAGACTTTAGGCCACGGAAGAAAGTCTCGAGCTGCTCTCTTTCAAGTTGAGTGACTGGCTCTAGGCGATTTTCATCACTGTTCTCAGAACTACCTTCGCTTCCTTCGTAGCTGGACGTAGCTGACGTGTCAGCTTCACCTGTTGATGACAGTCGTCTTCTTCGGTTCGGGTTTCCATACTCACTATAATAGGATGAGCTGTGTAAGGAGAGATTCGACTGGAGAGTCGGACAGGAAGACGCGTACGTTGCTCCGTTCATCATTGACTGAAAGAAAAATTCCTGCATGTAGTTATCTTTCTTTGAAGTCAATTTACGTGTTGACATAAACAAGAATCGTTAATGTCCTGCATAAAGTGAACATGTTTGCGGTAAGTCTCTAGTTACATTGTAGAATACCACACAAAATGACGTCTCTACGGTGGGTCAATGATACGAATTGCAATGTAAGTATGATAGAGGAAAGTACGTCGCACGATACGCATCCAGACCGGAAGTCCATTCTCTTCTACAGAATAACAGCCGAGTGGCACTCGTTGTAGGCATTGTTTCTAACAGCGATAAGGTTCTCTATTCATTTTATATCGTACTTAAGCCTTCATCATCGGGATATTGCACTCTTTCTCAGGCAATCAGACAAACGATGTGGGCTTCCCACGCTTCGTTTAGTTTCCTTTATTTTTTTTTTTTTTTCAACTTTACATGATTTATAAAGAATTTTTTAAAATTCTTCATTAAAAAAATTTTTTCTGACTCTTTTAATTCCCATCGAGCTCACAGTACTGCCAACGATTTAATTGACCGTGACTCTAAAATAGGTCAATTTCTTAATTAATTACAAGTGATGAATTACAAAGCTATTAATTATCCGGTTTGAGGAAAAAATCACATTAATGATTTTTTAAATAAAAAATTATAAGTAGATGATAGTTGAATTAATTTTATCATCGAAATTATTATAAAACCATGTTAAAAAAAAAGTATAATATGAAGCGGGGAATATTTTTAAAGCTTGGGTTTACTAACCTCAAATTTTTTTCGTTAAACTGTGCAATTTTTGTTTATTTTTTTCTTGTAAAAAATAGTTAGGAATATTCAGAAAAGTGGTACACACATCGGAAAACAAAGATTGATAGTACAAGTGTAATAATAATTGTAGAAAGAATAATTTTTCAGTGAAGGGCTCATGACAAGTGCATCCGCCATGACACTTCAGAATTCACTAAAAATGATTTATTATACGATTATTATTGCACCTGTACTATCAGTTATTGTTATTCAATGTCTATACTACCTTTCTGAATATTCCTAAATATTTTTTACAAGAAAAAAACAAATAAAAATTGCGCGGTTTGACGAGAATAATTTGAGGTGATTTGAGGTTAGTGAATGAATGATTCTTTAATAGAATGTAATTATTTATTATTAATTATGGAGCAATTTTAGCCGCTAAAAAGAATTAATTATGACATTTAACTTTGCGTACACCGACCTCGTTCTAGGACTTTAATTGGCTAATGTTAACATCAAGCTCTTGTGTATTTTTTTTTCCATCTCCCTACTAAATACTAACGTAGGATTGAGTGTGTTTATACACTCAGTACAGAAACGCTCGAGCTAATTAGACTTTCCTGACCTGAGGCATCGTAGGAATTTTTTTATCGGCCATTTCCTCGCTGTTTGGAATGTCGAGTAACTAATTCTTCGTGCATGACGAACGAGTATAAAGGCGAGAGAAGACCATTAATTAGTATGATAATTCAACGCCTGAAGAATAAAAGAGTAGACTCTTATTGAAAGAGTCTAAAATAATATTCGTCCTCGACTTTAATTGGCCGGGCAATCAAGTGTAAGACAACTGTTACAATTAATTCTAATAGCCAACGATACAAATAACTGACAGTGGGTAAAATGACTAATTACTGTCCACGTCAAAGTCCTTGTTATATTAATGAATGAAATAAAACTCGGAATTGTGAATGAATGACGTCAAGATATTGAAAAAAAAAAAGGAAAAGTATTTTCACTTCTCATTTATGTACATTTTCGAATTAATATTGTTTTATCTTAATGACAACTTTCTTTGGCATTTGGAATCGGAATATGTTATTTTTAGAATTGTGTAATTAAAAGATCTTGAAGAAAAAAAATTGTTTTTGTTATTCAATAATCATCATTTGAAGCATAAACGTGTCTGACGTAATTGAATATTTGCATAATTATTTTTCTTTACATCGCAGTAGTCTTCCACGAAATACTCGCAAGTTGTGAGTAATCTCTTTGTTTTAGTCATGCATATAAAGATATACATATCATCACTAGAATTAACTATGTATTTTTTATTTTATCAGAACGAAAAAATTTCCACTGTGATACAATCAAAATTTTTTTTTTCTCATGGTTCAGAAAAAATTGCTTTTCTTAACGCTAATTTATACTGTCAGCGACAAATTAATTGATTTGTTTTACATCGATAAATTTTCTATTCATTAAATGTAAGATTTATTTCGTTGTACAACGATAAATTACTTGTGGAGATAAGAACATACGTACTGATAAAAACTTGACGGCCAAGTAAATAAATATTCATTTATTCTCGAAGACATTACGCCAATTATAATCGATTTTTACGGTTTTTGAGAGTTTTTTTTCAATTGAATATAAATTACCGAAGCAAAAATACTCATGAATAATAGCTATTCACTAAGAAAAAATTTTCACTAGACAAAAAAATGTTTATTTGATTGATATAAAGAATTTAAAATCATCGCAATAAAATATTTGATTGAATTTAATGAAATTTTCGCTTGAAATAGTCAATTATTAGCCAAGGGAGTAAAGCATGACATTCTGACTCGGGTGTAAAATTGCATCGATGTACAAAATTTTTTTTTCATGGTCCAATAGCCATAATTTTGATTAATTTTAATTTCTTTTTAATGATAGAATGAAAATAAAAATTTTTTGTATTCAATGATGACTATAATATCAACAGGGAATAAAATTGCTGAGTATTGATCAAAGTTTAGTAATTATTTTTTTGAAAAATATAATAATTTAGCATTGACAATAACTCTCGCTCTTGTATGTCAAGTTCTTGATACGTAGATTGAAAGTGTGAGTGAATTTCTTATATCGTAAAAATGTTATTATCCAGGTAATTAAGATTCTCAAGACTTGGTGTACTTTCTTCCGCGTGAACTTGTTTATTCGCATGAGACACTTGATGCAAGTCAGCTTCATCAAACCGGATATGGAACAGACCCCCTGGTATAATCTTAACGAGAACAGATTAATTGGATTCGCTGATGACTCATTCTTCATAGATGCATCCTATTAACTACAAGCTATATATAATCTCATAAAATGCGTCTTTAGTCTACGAGAAAATTCTTCAAGTTAAGAATCACTGCTTCATAATGCCATACACCGTTTTAATCTGCTGAAAGAACTTTTCCGTACGACTGCACGTTGTGCTTCATAAGAGACCTGGAATGCGTCATAATGCTCTGATATTTTTGTGTGCTCAGGTGTAGTATGTATTTATTGCAATGTTTATGAGCATTGTGAGAAGTATTATGTTTACTGTGAAAAAGAATTGACTTATTATTATTCAACTCTTTTATATTCACAAAAAGTTATGAAGCTATGGAAAAATTCTCATTGCAAATAAATTTATATTTACAATATTTTCTAAAATATTATTTAATATAATAAAATTAAAAAAATATGATCAATATTTTTATTATCCATTTGTTTGCATCTTCATAGTTATGGCATGATAAATTCTACGTATAGAATGAAAGAACAAAACTATTCATCATGTGATTTAATATTTGTTCCTATGGACTTTCAAATGAATACTCTAAAGACTATTGTCACGAGCAAAATTAACGATGTGTGACGCATTTAACGATAAGAGAAACGTTCTAAATGACGTGTGCTAATAAATTCACCTCTTCTACTATCGAAAATTATACAAAAATTAATGAGAAGTCAATAAAAAAAAATTTTCTCTAATCGTTAACAATAAAGATCATAAGAGAAGATAAATCGACATTTACAGATGGGAATCCGCAAATATATATGTATATATATATATATATTGTAATACATAACTTGTGTTAGCAATGTGGGTTACCGAGCAAGCAATTCTTCTTGCCGTTTAGGTCGCAGACATTCGAAAGGTGGATAAAAGAAATAAAAAAAAAAAAATTTGAAGATGAAGAGAAAAAGCCGGAGAGAGCGGATTGATGGCACTGAAAAGTGAAGGAGACGAGAGAGGAGAAGAAGACATGGTCAACGAACCAAGTTCAGACCCTGAGGCCACTTCTTCCTCATAAGATTTTGCATATAAGAAATCTTTCAACATGCACCTGAGTTCCAAAACCTTGAGTCTACGCATCTAGGGTCTTATTCAATGTGACCTCGTGTCCCGCATGCTGGGGAAAGTTACACCTGTATAGAAATATGATAACTAGCTGTATGTTACCTTTGGGAAAAAAAAAGTTTAGAAATTTTTGTATTCTTATAACTTATGAGTCAACAATGACGAATATACTATTATGAGACCAAGGGCATGGGAATATTTTTTTTGAAAATATCGTTATAAGCCACACCTTTAATTACTTTTAATATTGATGATGATGATGATGAAGCACTAATCTAACACAATAATTTTTATTGCGCCAAGTATGCTGTCAAAATTGTAGCTGCGTAATTGTAAAATAAACAAGTGGAATATTTACTTTTCATTATCAATCAAAAACAAACGAGAATTCTTTTTTATTTACAGCCAATTTAATTTGTAAATAATTAGAAAATTTAAACCATTAAAAACAATAAAAAGTTGAAAATTTAAACAATAATAAATAATTATAATTAAGTTAATGTATTATAATTAATATATAAATTTTTTAAAGACAGATACTTATTTCTTTCTATCTATCGTAGTGCAGCCTAAAAATCTATCAAAATAACTGGCCTATGGGTCATTAGAAAAAACCAATGCTCAGATAATTCTATTTAAAATAATGGAGCACAATAAAAATGTATTTTTTTAATAAATTATTTTAAGTAACCATCAAAACTTAATCAAAATATTTTATTGCAACTATTTAAAACTTGGAATTTATTGGTTAAAAAAACTATTTTGGAAAGCTTCAAAAAAAAAGTACATGTGTGGTCCATAAAATGGAGAGTTGTTTAGAATAACTTTGATTACAAAGAAAATACTGTCAAGATTAGTAATAAATTATAATGAGACTGAATTTTATTGGGAATTATTTACTACTTCCTCATGTAGTAGAAAGTAGAGTTAAGACACATTGAATTGTTAATTAAAAATCCTAATAAACGAAACTTGACGTATTTTAAATGAAATATTAATCACTTGGAGGAGAGATTAAAAATTAATTATATATCATTATCGCGTTGTATATTCTTTATGACAGTGTTTTGGTACAAATAAATGACACACTGATCCAATTGCCACGTACATATAGGCAGTAACGCCTCCCAATTACTTGCAAACCAGATAGGATAAGAAAGAATAGCGTGCATGTTGCAAATGCATATCAGGATCTGTTACTATAGATATCTTGTATATGATCATCGTACACATAAGGATGATTTCATAGCATATCCGGTTTTTGAGTCGAGGGCCCGCATGTTATACTGAAAAATCGCTTTTTATTCCCGCCAAAGGCACGTACACACTCTGATCGCACCAAAGAATATATCTCTGCTTACAAAGATCCGTTTGCATAATATTGTTTGCTCTTATTTACCAACTACATTCTTTCTTCAAAAATACCATACATTTACAGCATCGAATTATCAATGGAAAAGTCAATATATTTATTACTAATTATTGTTGAACATTATGACTTATCATTGGAATAAAAAAAAAAGTAAATATAAGTTTCGTGAAATGATGTCAAGTAAATGATAAAAAAAAGAGATAGGTACCTGAGTTTAATTAATTTTTGATAAGATTTAAGATAAATAAGTTATAAAGCTTGGAATATAACGGTGATTCATAATTAACGAATACACTTTTTAAATGATTATAGTCACTATGTACACTAAATAATTTTGACTTTCCACTCTAATTCACTTCACTTGGATGGTAATTATTTTATCTAATAAAGTCAAAATAATGAACAAATAATTTATTTTTTATTCTTGCGATCGTTGACCGATAAGAATATCGATTGAATTTATTTTGCGACTAATGATAGTGATCAGGAATGAAATAGCACGGGAGTGCAACGCGCAAGTCTTTACTCTACAGTGAATGGCGTTGGACTGAGGTTCCACGGTGTTGTGCGTCACGACTCAGCAGCAGCAGCGGCGGCGGGGACAAGCTTGGGGAGCTGGAACGACCCTCTAGCTTGTGTCTAACCTCCAGTACACATTTATATATACCTATATATTTCCTAGATTGGCAAATTCAGAGCGTTCGTGATTTTGCGCACAAACGAGATGCTACTCACGTCACAATTTTTCACCTGAAAATGCCAAAAAAAAATAGTCAACATTTAAAAAACAAATTCCAATGGTATTGTTTTAAAGTATTATCTTTGGACTAATCTTGTATTCTACTTCTACCTTGGTTGGTAGCAGGAAGAATGTCAGCTTGACGGCATACGATAATTGACTACTCACAAACAATTGAGTTGACACTAGATGAGGATTACCTATTGTCTATGTGAATAATTACTTGAGGAAACATTTTACAATTTGTCTCACAAAAGATTAATAATAAAATTCTGACGAGGATAACTTATTTTTTAGATATAACATGAGGAATGTTGTACGTTATTCACTGTTGAACACAACTTAATGTGACTCACTGATATTTAATAATTATTTTTATTGAAACCAGTTTAGATATAAATAGAAAAAAGTTTTTTTTTTTAATTATTTTATTATTTGGCTTAATTTTTTATAAATTAAAATAAATTAAATCATCATCGGTTTTTTAGTCAACAAATTATTTTGTTTAATTTTAAAAATATTTTATTAAATAAGTGACATTTGGTAATCTCTATTAATTATTTTAATAAATGATCAAAGATATTTATAATTCAACACAAAATTATTTTTTACAGTATCAAAAAAGGCGTTAATTCAAATTAAGATAACAGAAACACAGTTATTATGATGAAATGAAAAGTGCTAGAAATACCGATAAGAATGCTGGTATCAATTGTAATTTGATGTTTGATGCTGAATTACACAAATCTTTATCGCTACACGTTGCACATTTATTGTCACTATCATTTTTTTTGTCTTTACATGATTCTTCTGTTTTTTTCGCACATAAACGTTGCAACGTCTTTTTCTGAGTATCTTTATCTGAAAAATAGAAAAAAAATGATTTTATTTATGGATCAATTAACTTGCCATAATTATGGAAACAACAGTAATAGTTTTTTAAGAATTGATTAGAAAGAACATTTTGTTATTTATTGAAATAAGTACGAAACTTACTTTGGGTGATAATTTTTACACATTCCCAATCACTTGAAGTATCACGTTTCAATCTTGACAGAGTTTGATTTTGTTTCCAACTTCGAAAGAATGTTAGAAGTGTTTGTTCCTCTAGGTTGAATGGAACGTCAGGTACTGCTGCTGACTTTGTTTTAAGGTTTAGTGGTGTTTCTCCTGCTAGTTTTGCAGTTGCATCTCCTGCTGGTTTTGCTGTTGCTTCTCCTGCTGGTTTTGCTGTTGCATCTCCTGCTGGTTTTGCAGTTGCATCTCCTGCTGGTTTTGCTGTTGCTTCTCCTGCTGGTTTTGCTGTTGCTTCTCCTGCTGGTTTTGCTGTTGCTTCTCCTGCTGGTTTTGCTGTTGCATCTCCTGCTGGTTTTGCTGTTGTTTCTCCTGCTGGGTTTGCTGTTGTTTCTCCTGCTGGTGGTACTGTTGTCTCTCCTGCTGGTGGTACTGTTGTTTCTCCTGCTGGTTTTGCTGTTGTCTCTCCTGCTGGTGTTACTGTTGTTTCTCCTGCTGGTTTTGCTGTTGTTCCTCCTGCTGGTGGTACTGTTGTCTCTACTTCCGGTGGTGCTGTTGTTGTTTCTGCACCACACTCTACGGTAGGTGCTTTATCGGGATTAGCCCAGCAGTCATTTTTTTCATCGTCAGTTGTACATACACGACATTTCAACGATATACCTAGAATAAATTATAAACGTTGATAAATAAATCAAATATCCAATTTTTAAGGACAATTTTCAAAGAATGTTAAATACAAATCAATTACCTCGTTGAACATTAACTACTAGAAGAATTAAAAGAAACAGATACGATGTCAATTGTTTTGTGATCATCTTCACTCAATAATAATTAGATTCCAAAAGTACACTAGCACTGTCTTTAACTAAGTGAACGGATTCATACTGTGATAAGGGCTTTTACATATTCCCACCACCCATACGTCTAAGTGTTACAAGATAAAACTTGTATTGTCTTATCATAATAATAAACTCACAATCAATAAAATATCCTAGGTAAGCTGATATGATTCAGGCGAGCGATAATTTTTTTTATTTACTTCGTGATAACTGAAACAATTTTTTCGGTAGACCAACGAAGTTGTCTTCGACCACCAATATGACTTTAGCAAATGTCGTTATCATAATTTATTGATTAATGGTATCAATTATCCACAAACCATATGTTGATGATAATTAAGATATTCCAGTTTTCTAGATTAAAGAAAATAAAGGATATTTTTCCCCCATGTTGATGAACATTCTGAAAAAGACATTTGATCCAAATAAAAAGATTAATCATTCCAATTATCAACCACTTCAAGACCATTCCAAGATTTTTGTAATCCAATTGAATTCACACTGTTAATAACAATTAAATAATACTATTGAACATAAAATTAGTGCATTAATAATGAAATTTCTTGATAATCTTGAAATTATCAGCAACATATGCTGTAATAAATATTTTTAGAAATTTGAGTAAAGAATCAGATAACAAAGATAATAGATAAATTTTCTAAAATTTTTGAAACAAAGTATAAAATTGAAACAATGATAAATTTAATAATTCTTCTTTTCAATAATTACAAAAAAAATTATTTTATTTTTATATTGTTTCTCACTTAATTATAATACCTGATTATTCAACAAATATAATTTTTTTTTATTAAGAAGAATAAGATTACAAAGTAACTAAGTAAATATCTGATTTAAAACTTAATTCATTTTTATTATATTATATTGCGCAATGAACAGTTCCATTGAATGTCAAGTCAAACATTTCACAAAATCGAGTCATTAATTGTTCTGCTGGTTTGTTCATCATGGACATAGTTTTATAAGCAAGCATGTTTAATCCGTCATGATAAGGTAATATCTATCTCTACTTCCGTATCATCGACGACAAAGATTATTTAGAAATAAAATTTATCACATTCGTTAAATAATAAAATAAATTTTAATTATTTTCAATAACTGTTACAAGGATGTAATAAAACCTCGCTTGTTCCTGATTCATGAAGAAAGTTAATCAGAGTTTCATCTTAGCAGGATATTAGCTTATAATTCCTCTATACCGTGAGACATTAAATCACAATACAATATAGGAATATGTAGTGAAACTTTTATGGTGAACTTTAAAGCAGTCAAGAATTGTTTTCTTCACTTATTCCCACCGTGTGCTTGCTCGTTGGTATTTTTTTTTTTTTTATATTTATTTTATTTTTTCTTTTTATTCCTCTTCTTCAGTCCTTTTCTCTTGCTTCGTTTTACGCTTGGTCCCTTCGTCTCTCACACTTCCTTACATTTCATGGCATCCTCTCTTATACACACATTACATCGTGGTCGTCTGACTACCTCACGATCGTCTGCATCCCGGAATGTGGTTGTACCACTTGAATACTGCAAATCCAACTTCATTCGTTATATTCTTCTAAGTTTTGATACCCAACCGAATATTTTTTTAAAGTATCTATTAAATGATTAGAATAAAATTGTGCATAAATAAAATATGAGATAACGATAAAACAATTTTTTTAAAAATATCATAGCAGAAAAATAATAAATTTTTATAGTGAAATTATTCTCTATTTATTTCTATATATTCTTTTATATTTATAGATACTTAAGTCTGTCTGTAAATACTACTTGTTTACGTTAATATATAAACAGGTGCTTTACAGGAGGTATTCAACATTTTTTTATTTTTAAGGTAGTTCTAGCAATTAACGAATCTCTTGAGATTGGTGTAAATAATTTGAGGATGTATGTAACATTTGAAATCTTCTATAAAGTAAATGATTCTTCGATTAAGATAAAAAAATAAGTACCTACATCAAGCATTTGTTTAAAAATCTATGATAGAATTCAATTATAAATAACAAAAAATGCTGTCTTATACATTAGTCGAATGAGAGACAGGCTTATTTTCTACCTTTGTTGTTTACATACTGTAGATAATTTTAAAAATAGAATAATTATTTTGTTAAATAATTTTGAATAAAAATTTCATCAGAAAAAAAGTGGTTATCAGTAGTTTTATAAAGAAAAATTTTAGAAATGATATATTTTATATTAAAAGACGAATTAAATTAAAAAATTTATCTGGTAATTAATCGTTAATTTTCGAAAATTAATAGAAAAAAGAAATTGTATGTTATTCAGTAGAGATTCAATTAAAACATTTAGAAAATTATCATTATTTTTTACTTATTTTTGAAGGCCTTCTCCAAGTGCCCCTAAGCACTAGAACCACCTTAAATGTCTTTTAATTATTTTTTAAAATTATTTATAATCAGATGTTATTGTAATACTTGTTAATGCAAGTGTAATATATAATAGTCCAATTGATTGCTAATTATTATCTTACTGACATACTTTTTTGCTGTTTATTATAATTATCAATAACAATTGAACACTTCAGATATGAAAATTGGACATTTTTGATAAATCTAAAAAATATTGCACTTTGCCCAATCTTTTAACTTCACATCACATCATCCTTTGTTGTATTTTTTTTTACAATTATTTATTTGTGCGTTAGGCATTTAATAATGAAATCTCGCCCTGGGTCACGGTAATAAACTACTCCTGACAGGTCTTTTATATTCATCATCAATTTCATGAAGATCAGGTGGATCCGCAAAACCACTATCATCATAACGAGTACAGCGGGATCCAGGAGATCGTGGTGGATGAACTGTATGTACTGGATGAATGCTAAAAATATCAATAATTAATATAAACAAGATAAATAAATATTAATACAATTTTAAACGGAAACAATTTGAATCAAAGTCTTACAAATGACTGTGTTAATTGCTAAAATAAATAAAAAAGATAATTTAGTCATAAAAAGAGTGGAGATATCAAGGTTTATTTCTGAGAAAAATAAAATCAGTATAATAAAGATTTGCTAAGATTAGTGAGATAAAATTTTTGAAGACCAGATATCCTTGATAAAATTCAAAGATACTTATAAAGAAATTAAAAAGATTATTTAATTAAATATTTCTATAAATATTTAAAAATTAATTGATATAATTCGAACAATTAAATTCATTCTTGAAGAATCATAAAGCCTTTAATAAAGAATGCGACTTTTAATTACATGAATTAATTTATATTTTAACTTTTAATTAAAAAAATTACCTTGTACATCTGGATGGACTTGTCTCCAATGGTTCATCATACCGCCTAGACAACATTGTAAAATCGCGATGAGCAGTTATTATCTTCTGCAGACGACTAATAATTTCATAATCGGGTGTGCAGATTGGCTCAGAAAGTAATTTTGCTACAGAAACCCGGAAACTTTGTAATTGTGACTCTCTTCGTGTAACCTCAGCTAAATTCTGTTTAACCTGTGCCAGTTCATCCCTTAGTAATTGTAAAGAATGGTCATTAATTGATCTCTCCTGATCAGCAGTTTCAGTTGTGGTTCGCATTTGATCTTTCAACATTGTTAATTTTCTACTGTAACGAGTTCTTAACATTTCGCTTTCAACCAAACGCTTTTGGAGATCTTCAATTTTACGGCTACGCTCTAGTGCTGAGATCTAGAAAATATATCCCATAATTAATATTTTATTAAAAAGAAAATAGTTATTTAATCAATAAAAATAAATTAGAATATTCGCAATGAAATATTTTATTGAATTTAACGAAATTTAACTTGAAAAATGGATTTTAATTTCAGTGTAGAATTATTATAAATACCTTATAATCCGCTGCTTCTGTGAGTTGAGCACTCAATTCACGGTTCCTTGATTTTTCTTCTGCCAATTGTATCTGAAGTCTATCCACTTGTTTCATAGCTTTTTTTGCCCTATAAATTATTCATAAGATTTTATAGAAAAGATTGAATATAATAAATAATACAATGGTTTAGCACAAGAAATCTACAAAATCATTTAATATAAAATTTAAAAAACTCTACCATATACCACCTCCTATTAAATATAATATCAAGAATATACCTCAGGTTTGCTTCATCTCTTTCAGCCTGTAACATCGACTTAATTCTCACGCCGTCTTCTTGAAGAGAAAGCTTCCTACGCAAAAGGTCCAAATGTAGATCTCTTCGTTGTAACTGTTCACGTAAAGTCCTCACTCTCCTTTGAAGTTGATAAACAACCGAAGTCTGAAATACAAAAAATAACAACGTAATCACTATTTGTATGAAGTTAATTATTTGAAATCAAATACATATGTACTAAAGTTAAATAGGATGATTGATTGTGATCATTTGTGCATCGAGAATTTTAAAATGAAAATTTAGTGATGGTAACTACAAATATAAGTATTCAAAAATGCAGCTGATTAGTTCGATGAGTGAAATGAATTTTCCTTCCTACGGCTTACTTCTTTAAGATACGGAAGCTCGAACGACCGCTCCCGTCGGATCCTGGGAAACGTCGTGTAGTTGTAGACTAGCTGTGAAAGCACATACACGAGACAAGAGACAAGACACCGAGATTAGAAGCAAAAAACCCAAGGACAATCAACATAAAATTCACCCTATTTTGTTTCTTCACCTTGTCCACAAGTTTATCAGTTTCAAGTCGTGCTAGTTGTTCGGCTCGCACCAGAAGAGCTTCTGTCTGAAGATCCAATCCAATTTCCTGAGATATTTCGTCCATCTGCATTGCTTTTCCCAAACGCTCCAAAAATATTTGAAACTGAAAAAGTTGAATTTTATTTTAATGTGATGTCATAACAATCTCTCAATTGAATAGCTTGGAATTTTTTTTTCTCAACGTACTGTTTGTTTATCACGTCGTAAAGATTCTCTTGAGAGCTCACTACTTGTCAGCTCCGATTCTAACTTATGGATTTTAGTCTCAAGGGCTGTACGATCTTCTTCAAGATTACGTAGCTTTATCATAGTATTTTCTACCAACTCACTTTGACGATTTGCTGATTCTGTGACTGAACTCAATTTTTCTTTCAAACTTTGGATTTTCTATATAAAATAGTAATAATTATTGATCACTTATTAATCATTGGGATCGATTTTCAATCGATGGAAAGTTCATCGTCAGGACAAAAAGTGCACCTAGACCCATTTTTTAATTTTTAGACTTACAAGTGTTTGATCCTTGTGATCAGCAAGGATTTCACGTATTCTATCTTTTATCGAATTTTCATGAGACTCCACAAATCTATTTGAGGTGCTTACGAGTATAGCTAGTGATTCAAGTAGATGACGCATTTCTGTTTGGATTCGTTGTAATTTTTCTTCTTTATTTTTTAAATCCTCTGCAATAAAGTTTATGCAGACATTAAATTTTCATGGTTGATGTCATAACAGATTGATAAACTACAAAGTGAACTATTTTATCAGCAGTCTTACCTCGGAGTTGGCAAATAAGAACTTCTTGATTAGAAACATTTCCTGTAATCGTTGAAAAATTTCTGTTTACGCTTACCAATTTGTCCCTGAGCTCGTTCAATTCTCTTTCAGCGACCCTGTATTGCATCTCAAGACATTCTTTGTCCTAGAAGATCATAAAATGGCTCTCTGTTACCAAATGAAATATTTTTCGATTAAAAACAAATATCATTCTCCTTTCACCTGACGAACACGGTCTAAATCAGCTGCTTGAGCAGTGACCTGCCTTTGTAATTGATCTCTCTCAATATTTGCACGTTCTAATAAATCTCTACAACTTTTAGATTCAACTTCAACACTTGTTAAATGACTTTCAATACTTGTACTTTTTGTACGAAGTCTATTAACTTCTTGAACAAGTTCTTCAGCTTTGTGAATTATCATTTCGGGACTTTGATAAGTGCTGTCACAAAAGTCAGTGTTCAATGCGTGGGCAAGTCGTCGAACAAAGTCCTAATTCATCAAAAAAAAATCCATAACCTCATTTTTATGACACATTCTTTGACAATAGATTTTTCTAAAAATAAAGTTTAATGAAACCTGCAAATTCAAACGTGCTCTTTCTTTTAAATCAATTTCTTCAGCAATGTGATGTTCTAGTTGGCGAATTTTTTTTTCATATTCTCGGTTTTTTTCTTCATGATACTTGACATCACGTTGGAGACTTTGAATTGTTATTTCATTACGACCATGAGTGGAATAAAGATTTTTTTCTCTATCCTCCAAATCCTAAAAAGTTCATTAATATTAATGAATTACAATATTCATAAAAAAAAGGTTAAATACACTGAGAAAATTTTTTATTGTAAACAAGTAATTTTTTTTAACCAATAAAATCAAAATTTTGAATAGTCGTCCATTACTATATTTATAAATTGATAGCAAAATCTCGTTAAATTAAATAAAATATTATATTGTGAATATTCAAAATTATTTTTATTAATTAAATAACCATTTTCTTGTATAGCAAAAATTTTCTCCACAGTGTAGTTGAAGAATAATTTATTGAAATCCTTATTTACTTGAATTCGTTTTTTCAAGCTCGATATAATCGAATTCTGTCTAGCAGCTTGTTCTCTCAGTTGATCAGCTTCCATTTGGAGTTCTGCAACCCTTTGGTCGCGTGATCTCAACGTACTTTTCATCTCTTGTAGCTAAAACCAATTGAAAGTATCATTAATCTTCTTATCTATCTGTCTTTTTTATTTCACTAATAAATTAACACTTGAGAAGATCATAAACAGACTTACTTCAGTTGACAGCCGATCTCGTTTATATTCCAAAACAGCCAATTCACTTCTCAAGTTTGTTGTGACGTCATGCGTCATATCGTCCTCAAGCTAAAATTATTTCCCATTTTTTCCATTTACTACTAAATAAATAGTAATTGACAAATTCACCAAAACAGGCTTTTATTAGAAAAAAATATTAATAATTAAATTTGCATTAAAATGGTATAATTTTCTTCAAAACTTCCATACTAGTGAGTCTCAAAGGATTCACTGGACTAGAAACATCGTCTATGTTACTAAAGGAAGAAATACCTGAGCTAGATTCCTACAGTTATATTCATAGATTTAAGCTATGCTCGTGATAGGGCGTTTCGTGACGAGATTCGTGCTATGCACAAGTTTACCTCGCGAGCTACTTTACAAAGAACATCTCAACATGTATAAAAATAAATTCCTTCAATATTTCTCTCTTTTACATTGTATTCATAAAATATATTATACTTCCAATACAATGACATGGACCTATTTTCCAGCATTGCAACTTTTGTTTGAATAAATTATTATTACCAATATAAATTTAATTTTTGTTTTTAAATTTATAAAGCAATATTACATCATTTGAATTAACTTAATAATCTCTAATCATTAGTAAAATAACTTTTAATTGTTTTTTTTTTTCAATCTAATAGATAATAGATTGTTATCTTTATAATAACCATTGTTGACAATAGCAATAAAGTATGAAGAAAAATAAAATCGATTTGTTTGAGTACTATGGCAACGAGTCTACTCTTCAGGTCAATATTTACCCAATTCTTACAAACTCAATATACGTAGCTTTAAAAATGATGAAAAAAGCCATAATTATTTCGTAAAATAAATCAAAGACATTCAGTAAAAATAATTATCTTAATTTTATTTTATCTCTTAAACCTTGTCTGGTGATGAAATACAAAGTGTTTTGAAAATCTTGAGATCTTCTTCTGTATTTCCAGGTGATTCCTTCGTCTCTTCAGCCATTTATATATATTTTTCTGAATATTATTCAATATCCACTTCAATCAAATTTTGTTGTTGAGTAATTACTAATTATAAGTGAAAGAATAAAATAATAGGATTATTTTTATACATCATCTCTTTCATAAAAATGAACACACTGAACTAAACTTTGGACACCGATGGCCTGTGTAAAAGTGTTAGATTGTTGATTGAATATCAACACGCAAAGTCGTGCCGGTGTATGACGTCATTACATTGCTACTAAGGCTCAGGATAATCGAAGAGATGTAACAAGCAACTCTTTCATTCTATGAAGAAGACATTGGTGATAGCATTGGATGGTTGCTAGGATAACTAATAACTTTAAAATAAAAATTTGAAAAATAGAAATACTTAAAAATCAACGTTATTTTATTGGATAGATAGATTAAAGAATTCTTATCTTTTCTAATGACTATAATTTTTAATATTATTGCTCAACGATATCACAAGTCAAGAAGATAATAAGTGAAGATGAAAGAAAATTAGATAAAAATTTCTTCTTTCAATTGTTTTGCAATCACAGTACTTGGTTGTTTTGATTAAAGCATTTATTTTATTACTTATCAAATTATCTAAATATAAGAACTTAACAATAAATCTGATTACTTCTTATACAGAAAACTTTATTGATGGTTTTCGAAACATTTTTCATTTATACTTATATTCTAATTTTTGCTAATCATCAAAAAAGTACTCTATGATTTAGATGATTTCAGTGTTTACTTGATCCAAACATGTGGCCACATAGCTTTAAAGGACAAGCACAGTCCTATGAAAGTTCCAACACATGTTATTCCAAATAAAATTTTATCAGAAGTACCTCTCATCAAATAAACAGGTACACCTTTTGCTTCTTGTTCCTGAAATATGAATAAAATTTATTATTGGTACCAAAGATATCAACGATAGTTACTTAATAGATTTTTTTTATATTACCTGGAAATATTTTTGCCAATATTTTATGCGTTCAGGAACAGTTGGTCGATCATCAAGATTAGGTTTTGAAATAGTGGAGGCAGGCTTTGTGTTAATGGAATCATATATTATGACTGACTGAGTTTTACTCAACTGTACAGGTCTCTGAAGATATAAAAAGTACATAAATAAATAAATATTGAAGTATTATAGCTTGTTAATTATTAAATGAGCTATCGCTGTTTCTAATTTTAGTTGAAAAATATTACTGTGAGGTTAGGAAGGCGAATTTATAGAAATTTATTTTTCTTGGCTTTTTAACGAAGGTAAATAGTATTTTATGTTAAATTAATGCATTTATTTATTCTTCTAATATTAACAATAAATAGGAAAGTTGAGAAAAGAAATGTCCCATGTTATCTTGACTATAATTGTGTAAAATCAAAAACTCTGCAAGACAACTGTTCTATTGATAACGAAATTGTAAAACAATTTATGTACTGATAATTACTTACAATTGGAAAAAGGGGTTGTAATTTATTAGATCGCGAAAGTCGACCCAAGGATCTGCTAAATTCGTGGAAAGCCATTTTTCGGTTTTCACTTATGCAATCAATAGAAATACGAAAGGAAACGTTGGTCAGATAAACACTATATTTTATGCAATTCTTACGATAAGAAATAATTTTACTATTTCTACATATGGTAAAGTAGAGCATTGTACAGTACCGGACATTGATGTTGTGTAATTGTGCGTAGAAGGGTATAGGGAAATCACACGCATAACCTTCAAAAACTTGAACAGCGTTTATGTCCGGTACTGTACCAAAACATTGGCAATAATTTCATTGTTGAAGGAAAGGGAATTCAAGTAAATTATCAAATTAAAACATTTATTAATTATTTACAGTTTGATTAACTATCAAAAAATGGATAATAATGAACAACCAAGTATCATTTTTCATCCGATTATATCTTCAATTCAAAAAATCGCCCTTTATGAAACAAAATCTGTAAGTATGTTGTTTTAGAAAGGTTGTTGCACTGAGCAAAATTAAAGATTAATCTATAAAATTAAAAGCTCATAATTTTATGATAAATAAATTCTAATTGTCAAATTTTATTTAATATTATCATTTATCATTATTTATACTTGATTATTAGTTGTGCATAACCTCCTTAAATAATGATATGATTATTTATAAAAAACAATTTTTTTTCATGTCTCTAAGTAAATGTTTTTTATCATTTTTTATAGAAATTTTATTTAATGGGTTCCAACAACAATTTAACACGCTTCAGAGTGTTAAAAATAGATAGGATGGAGCCGAAAGATTTAATTGTTGTTGATGATAAAATGGAATACACTCATGAAGAAATAGCAGATCTTGTCAACATGATTGATATGGGTAATCGTACCAAAATGAATCAAAAGAATAAATCTGGAGGTGTTGCAAAGATTGTATCAGCATTTGGAATCGTTGGTAATTAATTCATTTATTCAGACAATATTTTTCGTCCTCCAGTAGTGAAACCAAAAGTATTTTTATAATATTGCATGTCTTGCTCTTATTTACATTTTTATTGGATTTTGTTCATAAAATTTTGCTTGCTAACAAAGGTAGTAAAGTTAATATATCATCAAAACTTGTATCTGACGATGATAATAATAGCACGTCTGATGAAGTTAAAAATCAAGAATCAAAATCTAATCCAACAATTCATAAGCCAACTCAAACGAATTTTTCATGGAAATCAATATGGCAAAAAGATTCTTTTCCCAGATTAGTTCCAGCTTTTGGGCTTATTGGTAAGGCTGCATAAGGTCTTATGTTAAATTTATCAACTTTGTTTATCGTTATCATTTGCTAAATTGCATTTATTTATGGATATGAACAAAACTTTGGTATGTATTGTAATATTGGAGTGCACAACTATTCCATTACTGCATGAAGATTTTGTTATAACAGTTAATAAATCAAGTTCTATTGCATCTTAAATACTTATGAATATTAGAACAATATTCTATTAAAAAATAAATCGATTTTTTGATAATAATATTTCATTTTTCTAGGATTTGTAAGGTTTTTGGAGGGATATTACATAATTTTAGTAACCAAACGTCGACGAGTAGCCGTAATAGGTCATCATACAATTTATAAAATAGAAGATACATCAATGATTTACATTCCAAATGATACCGTTCGAGTATTTCATCCAGACGAACAGAGATATGTTAAAATGTTTCAGAGTATTGATCTAAATAGTAACTTTTATTTCAGTTACTCTTATGATTTGACTCATACCTTTCAACATAATCTAGCTCCCCCTAAACACATACAGTCAACAATAGATGAAGATATTGAAGACGAAGAAAATTCTAAGAGTAATGAAGATGTAAATGATTCATTCAACATGTGGACTCACAGAAAAAGTTGGAAAAATAATGGCTACGGTGGTAGAACTATTGATTATGGAATACGAAGTAATCCACATCGTCGATTTGTCTGGAATAGCCATTTGTTGGCTCCGGTGGAAAAAGAATTACATCGAGACTGGATTTTATATATAACTCATGGATTTATAGGCCAATCAAATGTAAGCATTTTTGGAAAGTCTATTTACATAACATTAATAGCTAGAAGGAGTAATAAGTATGCAGGGACAAGATTTTTAAAAAGAGGAGCTAATTTCGATGGAGATGTAGCCAATGAAGTGGAAACAGAACAAATAGCCCATGATTCAGCAGTGAGTTCATTGTATAGCGGACGTTTTAGCTCATTTGTTCAAATGCGTGGTTCAGTCCCGGGTCACTGGAGTCAAGATATTAGCAAAATGGTACCAAAACCAACAATCTCCAGTGATTTAGCTGATCCTTTTTTTGAAACAGCTGGTGCGCATTTCAATAAATTACTTAAACGCTACGGATCACCAATTATTATACTTAGCTTGGTCAAAAAAAGAGAGAAAAAAAAACACGAGAGTACTCTGAGTGAAGAATTGTCAGCTTCAGTGAGATACTTGAATCAATTTTTACCTCCTGATCATCATATTCAATACACAAGCTTTGATATGGCTCGTAAAAATAAAGGAAAAGAAGCAAAGGTGATGAGCAAATTGGCTAATATTGCTAAAGATGCTATCATGAAAACAGGAATGTTTCAGTCTCAACAACCTTATTATAGCCAAAAAAAATTATTCAATGGTCTCGAATCTACTAAACGGGTAAATAATTTAAGCAATTTAATATCCTCAAGTGTTCAAGATTTAGAAACTGATGGTAGTGAGAGTGTAATTATTAAAGATCATGTGAGAGATTTATTCGTTCAAAAAGGAACTCTACAAACAGGAATCATTCGTACTAATTGTGTTGATTGTTTAGATAGAACAAATACCGCTCAATTTGCTATTGGTAAATGTGCTCTTGGTTATCAGCTATGTGCCCTGGGAGTTTTAGATTCACCAAAATTAGAATTCGATTCAGACTGTGTACGTATGTTGGAAGAATTATATGAAGATCATGGAGACACATTAGCTTTACAGTATGGAGGTTCACAGTTGGTCCATCGGATAAAAACTTATCGAAAAACTGCACCATGGACTAGTCAAGGTAATGACATCATGCAAACTTTAAGTCGCTATTTCAGTAATACGTTCAGTGATCAAGAGAAACAGCACACGATTAATTTATTTCTTGGATTATTTGTTCCTGAAGAAGGGAAACCAGCTATATGGGAATATTTAACAGATTATTATTTACATAATAAACCAGCTTGTAAATATACTCGACGAATGCGACCATTGACACAATGGTGGGATAAAAATATGATCAAATGTCTTCCTCACTCTTATTATGAAGTAGAAAAAAGCTGTTGGGAAATTATTCAAGTCCAAGACTCTCAAGAAGAAATGATTGATATCTATTCAGACTATCATAGATTGTTTGAGTTACTTTCTTTATCAGAAATGTACGCTTATCGAATAAGCCATTCTGTGCGCGATTTCATGCCTCATTTCACCACTAACGTCAGTCCTTTTGCTGTGAGAGTGAGGCAAGGCAGAAGAAGAGAAGAAACAAGCAATAAAAGAGCCAATATGAAAAATCCTTCAATGACTGGACAAAGCAGTACATCAAGTACAGCTTCTAGTGCAAGCTCGAGTGTCGAAACGAGTTCCGATGATGATGACAGTCATCAACAAACTGATTCCCATATTTTCTCACGAGATACTAGTGAGTTAATTAGCTTTGAAAATTTATTTCCTTCGATGAAGGAAGTATATGGCACGGAACCAGAGAATCCAAAGCGGAGTGATTTAGTTTTATATAAAAAATTTGTAATGATTGATCGTAATGCTACTTGTCTTAAAGATCATACTAGTATTAAGTCTAAAATTCTACAACAAGCAACGCTTCCAGATGTTGTACCTTCGAAGATTACTCTGCCTATTGTAAAAGATACCAGCATCAGTATTTATGAACAGTATGTTCAGAGAGGAAAGGTAATTTTGTTTAACTTATTTGAATACATGAATAATAATTATTAATAAAAATCTAATAGTTGAATTAATTATAAATAATTTTTTTTCAGAATGGTGGATTCATTCCTAATCCAACAGACATGATTTTGTATGAAAATTACGTCTATCAACAGAAATTATGTCTAGGAATTTCTAGTAAAAGACCATATTTGTGATATTAAATATATTAATTGAAATGAATTGTTGTTTCACTGTTGATATAATTTTATAAGTGATTAAATTTTTATTGAGAACCAAAAAGAATGATACAGGCTAATATGTTGTGAATTTTGTCCAACAAATATAACAATATCCTTTTCTGTATGCCTGTTGATGACCAATAGTTTACTTTAGCTTCTTTTTGGGGCGGATATTATTTGTGTGTCCACACTTCTTCTTTCGGCAATTAGTTGCTCTTGGATGAAGACGAGCATAGCACTTACGACAAATCATTTTGTCGCAATTGTATTTCTGAGCAAGAATTTTCAAAGTAGGCTCAATTACACCACCTCGAAGACGAAGAACTAAGTGAAGAGTGGATTCTGGAAAAAATATAATCAAGATGAGTATCCGAGTGATAGTAACAAACAGACATGGAGTTCATTGATTAGTTTTGACTGGGTAAGTAATTATTTTATATTGAAGTAATTATTATAGTTACCTTTTTGGATATTATAATCGGAGAGAGTTCGTCCATCTTCGAGTTGTTTGCCAGCGAAAATCAATCTTTGTTGATCTGGTGGGATCCCTTCTTTATCCTGAATTTTTGCTTTTACATTTTCTATCGTATCCGATGCTTCTACTTCAAGGGTAATTGTCTTACCCGTTAAAGTTTTCACGAAAATTTGCATCTTGCCTTATCTGCAACAAAAATAAAAATAATACAATCAACAAACACTAAATCATATGTTGCTTTGACAGTTTTAATTATCATAGATTTTTTAAAACACACTTGTATTGATTTTTTCTATCGTTTATGAAATTTCGAGAATTATTTTTTAATATATTTTAACTAAAATAGTAAACGATTATTTTTTATAACTTGACAATTTTGAAACGTGCGTAAATTAATATCGACGTCGTGCAATTGTTTTTATAGGCTTTTGTTTAACGTATGTAGCGAAAATAAGCATCGAGAGTGGGAAAAAAATAAACTGTGTGGTTAACATACATCAATTAATTATTTTTATGATCAATATGAAGCTTAGTAGTGCTTTAAAAGTGCAAAAAAAACTTCATACTTACAAAGTTAAAACGTGTGTCTCACAAAACTTCAATAAGAGAGGTTAACTTTCGAGAGAAGGTCATTTCCTGTGCTCTACCGGATATCATTACTGCCATCTAGCGACGAAAGACGGCAGAACTGCACCAACAGTCGATAATTCAAATGTGAAAAACAAAATTCATACAAAAAAAATCAAACAATTTTTTTTTCTTAATTAGGAATGTAATCTAATGATTGTTTGAATTTTTACAGAGATCAAACAAATCAGTAAAGTTTAATTCACTAATTTAAATAATTTTTTACTTATAGTTAAATTAGTTAAATTATTTAATAATGAGCAAAAAATAAATTTCATTTTTAATTGATTGGATAAATAATTTGATTTAAGAATAAATAATTTGAATTTGAGATGGATCATGAATATTGTTCTTCATCATGAACGAATGAAGAAATGATTGGTTAATCTGAAGAAGGTAAATAACTTATAACAAAATGTAAGTTAGTTTAACGAAACTAAATACATATACTTGGACTTATTACTACGTTGTTAAATCCGATATTCAGTGTTTATCCAAGAATTTTACCGTACTCAGACGACCCTAAATACACCGCACGCGCGAGCGAATAAGCGATATGCAAATTCCTCTCGGGACCTTTAAACTTTACATTTTGACCCAGATGTTTGTAAATCCCCTAAGTTTTGCTAAAGAAGCTTATGAACCTATTGATCGACCGCATCAAACGTAAAGCTATCGCTCATTTCCATTACTATTTTCATTAAATCTCTTCTTCGAATATTTGAAGCGAAACAAAGTTGCAAATCAATGGGAAAATGAATTATTCCGTTGGATCATGTTTTATTTATTTATTATGTATCAGAAAATAGATGTTGTCATTAATAAATAGGTGACCATCGTCAAAGTAATTACGTCAATTAAAATAATACAATTATTTATTAAAGCTGAGCTTTATTAACCTCAAATTCATTTTGTTCAATTATGCGTTTTTTGTTGGTTTTTTTTATGTAAAAGAAATTCATGAATATTTAGAAAAGTGGTATACATATCGGAAAACAAAGATTAGTAGTAAAAGTGCAAAAATAATCGTAGAATGAATAATTTTTTAGGGAATTCGAAGGTGTCATGGCGGGCACACTCGTCATTAGTTCTTGCCTGAAAAATTATTCATTCTACAATTATTATTACACTTTTATTATCAATTATTGTTTTCCAAAGTGTGTGCCATTTTTCTAAATAATCAAAAATATTTTTTACATAAAAAAAGCCAATAAAAAATGCACCGTTTGACGATAAAAGTTTGAAGTGATTTGAGGTTAGTAAAGCTCAGCCTTAAAATAACACGCGTATAGTGTGTTAAAATCTAGAGTTTGTTTACGGCATTTAACACGGCACAGGCTCAGTATGTAAAAAGTGCGTACAAAAATAACACACTTAGATTCGCTGTGATAATATTTTTATTCAGTACATTTTCAAATCATAAAAGTGCTCCATTTTAAGTGGAATAAGATATCAACTTTAAAAGAGATTATTTTTTCTAAAAAGCATTTTTTATGTAGAGTCAATACAACGTCTAAATAATTTTGTTTCCACGCGTTTGCACGTCAACTCAAACTTATATATGTATATATGATCAGAACATTTTGAAGATGCCTCAAGGGTAACTTGCGAACTTCTAATAAACCGATATACCTAGTGACGTTATACCAGAAAGAGCTTCAGACTCTGCACATATAGATGTGCCTCAGGCGACGTTGTACTATGTTCCTGGTTAATCTCAAGCCTCTAGAGCTATGCAATTCGATCTATACGTGATCTGTATTCCAGTTGAAATGCACTGGAAAATTTGCTGAGTCAATCGTCGAAATGGATTCCTATTCTAAATTATTTTATTTTTTTTTTATAACATTTTCGTCAATTTAACGATTATTTAGCTATTTTATCCCAATTTTTTTTTGCATCAGCAAAAGAAGGGTTCTCAGTGGGATAAGTAATAATGGGAAAGCCTGTGCGAGTTAGTTAGATCATTAAACTGTACAGGGATTGTGGCGCCTGGTAAAATCCAAGCCTAACTTACGACCAAACTCGTTCAACTACGGTTAACCTTTCATGACACTTGGACGCCTGGCAAGCAAGCGCCGGCTGGTAGAAACCTCGTCTGTCCAAAACTCAAATTATCGAACGCCCTCGGGGCACTTTTATAGAACTCATTTTTACCATCACTACTTATTAATTACTTTTAACATCCCCTTTTTTTTTAGTTACAAATGATTATATTTAAATAAGTGCGTTATTGATAGCATTTATTGTCGTAAAACCATTCGAAATCTTTAAGTAAAATATTTCTCATATTTTTTTTATAAATCCGCCGTTAAAACGAAGATTTTGAAAGAAATTTCATTGAAATCGGATGAATTTTAGATTTTTTAGAGTCAAAACACTAGAGAACCGCGATAGTTGAAAATTACCTTTTTTTACAACTAAAATCCCATTTTTTTTCTGAGACTTTATGGAAAAAATATATCCATCAATATCTTCATAGTGTTTGCTTGATGTATTTAATCATATTCAGCTCAAATAAATGTCATATTAAAGTCAACAAAGTTCCATTTAAATTAAATGAAACTTATTTCTACCATTGACGTTATATATTGCCAATATTAATCAATATTTATTTAAGTTACAAAATTGCATTAAACTTCAAAAAGTTTATCTGTAAATATTGAAAGCATCTTTTTGTTTACCAATTGACTTTTCTTATCCATTTCAATACACAAACAAATGTTTTTTCCTCTAAAGTAATTTTTAATTAGATATTTATTAAAAGTAGTAATTATTTTTCATTTTAAAATAATGATAATAAGGTAATTCTGTAAACACAAATAATTAATTAATGTGGAAATATTAATTAATAACGGAGTCTCACATTAATTAATTATGATGTATTACTAGAGTGTAATATTTATAAAATATAAATATACTTTTACTCCCAAAAGATTATTATTTCCTTAACGATAGGGCAAAACGACTCCAGTGCGACGTGGAGGACGAAAAAGCAATATTGATCTTATGCTAATTTTGCCGCTGAGTTATGAAGGGCACGTGCCAAATAAGATAATTTATGCTGTTGTTAATTCCAACGGCATTTGCAAATATATAACATTGTTGTGCTAATACTCGGGGATGTTTAAGAAAATTGCTAAAAAAACTGTCCTTTATTATCAAAACGCAATCCGGGAGTAATCTGATAATCTGAAAGCTCAATATATTAAACAGTTACTCAACTCTTTCGCTGATATATATTCGCACCATTTGAATTTACATAAACATCTCTACTTCACCAGTAAATTCATTAAAAAATAGATTGTTTCAATATTCGTGATTATAAATATACAAAATTTTCATTTAAACTTTGAAAATGTTCATAAATATTTGTGCAACTTTACCCAATTAACTTTGCACAATGAATTGTATTGTTTGAATATCGTGAACGAGTTATTTTTTTTTTTTTTTAACAAATAAAATCAAAATTTTGAATAGTTTCAATACAATTTTTTTTTTTAGACTGACATGGTAAAATTTCTATAGGTTTACTTTTGATGATTATTTGAAATAATAAAATAAATAATTAATTAAAAACATATATTTATAACAATAATAATGTATGATAATTAGTATATAAATTCTTTAATGACAGATAACTTTTAGAGTAATGAAAATTAGGTATAAATAATTGAGATAAAAGTTGTTCCTTTCAAGACAAGGAATATTTTTTATTCAAACTATTTCTTTCCATCTATCATAGTTTAGTCAAAAAAAAACGTTTAAACAATTAAATTATTTAAAATTAAAAAACTGGCCACTCTATGAAAAAAAAAAAAAGGAATTCGGAGTCTACATCTAAAAGTCGATTAAAATAGCAAATCTATCTTGCAAAATTTCGTTAAATTCAATAAAATATTTTATCACAAATGTCTCTAATTTTTTTATCAATTAAATAATCATTTTTTTGTACAGCGAACAATTTTTTTTCTACATAAAAATAAAGTAATTGCTTCAAAAAAAAAAAGTTCCATAATTATACAAAAAAATTGAACTCCAACCCAAGAATATTGTGTGTTGGGAGGCTTTTCAAATGATCGTTATAAAATGAAGAATTAAATGATATATTGTTGGGGAAAGTATTTTTTTTTGAACAATGACTTTTAGCGATTCAATTTCAATCGGTACTTCGCACAACAGGACAGTTAATCTAACTTGAATGACGGCTCGACTACAAAATCATTTGTATACGATTCGCTCGACCGTATACGGTCTCTCTTCTCATCTCTCGGTGTATATACATACATTTTTTGTGTTTTACGCTTTTTCACAACCTGATAGCTGCCGTTGATCGAAATAAAAATACTTGTAGCCGTCATATGGGTCTGCTATCAAGTGACATGTGATTCATGTGTTTGAACGATCTTGCAACATTTTTTAAACGAATAAAAATGCTTTCATAAACAACATTTGAAGATGGGATATATAAAGTTCAACACAACAAAATGTTAAATTAACAAAAAATATAATTAACATCTACCATCATGTATACTTGTTGTTATTTTTGTTCCATCACTTCTTTTTTTCAACATTAAATCGGATGTCGAACGAATAATACCGTGTGGACATTTCTTTAAATTTACGTGAAATAAAAATTCATTTCATTTGAACCGCGTGCTTATAAGCTTCTACGCCACTGTGTGAAATCAAACGCTGATTGGTCAACTCGAACGCCGCTCAAATGCTATTGGTCGACGTGTGAAGGTGCGTTCGATAGCCCGGCTTGAACCTAGAACCCCCCCAGTACCCGGCAAGGCCTCGAGCGTCGAACTGCTCTGTGGTTATGTCGTTTTCGAAATTCCTTTATTTATCATTAGTTTCATTGAATTTTAGAGCATTTGTCTTGTCCACAAAGTATCAAATTAGCTGAATAAATCCACACCCAGTTGATTCATCATAACATATCAATAGTTGAGCTTTTAAGAGTATTATTCTCTGTATTCAATCGACGAGACGCTACCTGTATTTAATTTTTTACGAAGCAGTGGCAGATGTAAGTGTTTATGGTGATAAATATTT